TGTAAGTGCTTGTCTTAATGCGTAATCAGCAAAAACTTCAGCATCTCCAGCTCTTCCAGCAGCACCAACATCAACGTAGACAAATCTGTAATTCGCATTAACCATAGCCAGCAAGATAACACTGAAAACTTATGATTAAAATATTCAAAACCAGCGTCAGCTGGCTGTGGAATTGCGATCTGCTTCCCGTCAATAGCTCCCAAACAACAGGGATAATTCCATCTAATCTCAAATTCCCTTGCAATTTGAAGCCAGTCTTTTGTAGTTCTTGGGATCTAAAAAATGATGATGATTATTTTAAAAATTTCAGGAATCCGTTAGCACTCCTCAAGACACAAGTTTCACCAAAAAGATGATGTTGATGATTACGACAATGATTTAAATATTAATGAAAGTAAAAATGAACTAGAAAATCATGGAGTGGATGGTGCAGCAGCATAGTCCACGAGTCAGCCTATACAAACGCCAACTACTTCAAGCAAGAGACAGGCTGAAGAAGAATTGAATTTGATAAAAAGTTTGTCAAGTTCAATAGCCAACAAAAGAAAACGCAGAAAAGAAAATAATGGTGGCAACATATTGCATGCTTTTGGAGTCTATGTGGCAAAGGCACTTTCGGAATTAGATCCTAGAACTTGTCCCCTTACACAAAATAAAATATATGGTATAATTTTTCAAGCACAGTCTGGTCTATTGGCACCAACTCAAGAAATGCCACCACAAATTCTTCGTGAACAATCCCAAAGAAATTATTTCAATCCAAATATAAGCATTGGTATGCTATCAAGTTCAACACCAACACTGTACGATGAAAACAATGCATCACACAGAGATGATCATGTGCATATGTCAGGTGCCTGGCAAAGTTCATACATTCACATTTGCACATTTTTGTAATTATGGCTTGTTTTGAATGTGTTTAGGTAAAATAAATGATGTAGAAAAGTATGTTTTAGAAGGTTAATAGGATTAAATAACCTTCAAATACTTCTCCTTCATTGCTGCATACAAGGCATTACATATTTCCTCCACAATACCAGATATTGTACATTCACCTATCCGATATTGAAAGGAAAGACTTCTGAATATTTCCCCTAAACAAAATACAGACCATCATTTTATATATATGGTTCCAAATACCTTTACTTTAGAAAGACCCACTGCTATTTTTAATGCCTTTTCTTAACTGAAGCCAAAAAGCGTAATGTTACCGACAATCGCTCCCTTAGCCGAAGCGATTTACGTAGTTTTGTGTCTTTCTTCTGAATTCGTGGCGACACCATATTCAATATTTCCTCCAAAGAAATCCTATCTGAACGATAAACGTTGTGTCTTGAGGAGTGCCAACGGAAATCCTGAAATTTTTAAAATAAAAATCATCATTTTTTAGATCCCAAGAATTACAAAAGACTGGCTTCAAATTGCAAGGGAATTTGAGAGCAGATGGAATTTTTCCGTGTTGTTTGGAAGCTATTGACGGGAAGCAGATCGCAGTAGCTACTGTTTGATGATTTAAAAAGTTGGAAAAAACTAAAACTCCCAAGCTTTAGACAAAAATAGGCTAATATATAACAAAGGCATAAATAAAAGTTTCATAGCTAAAGCTAATTAACAAATTTACCCGATAGTTTTTATAACTCAGTTTTTTGCACGGCAGCATTAAGAACAAAAAAGTATTTTGTGTATAGCTGCGAATATAACATGTCACAAGCAAAAAAAAGACAGTTGCGGTCTCAACGATTATTGATTTGCCCATACTGTTGTTGCTTTGCCGCTCCCAGGTCCATGTCACATATTTTGCTTCAGTCACTGTCATAGATCTGGAAATTGAACTATACTGGCTTCTAGGAGCTGGATTCATCTCCTTAAAAGATAGCCGCCCCTGCCATTTCATGATGCGTCTGCGGAGATTTTTGTTTTTAGTTTTAAAAAAAGTATCTTGTTGTAAGGTGTCCCAAGTCCACGTATTGCTTTTAATCAACAGTTCTCGAAATGGCTTTGTCACATCTGCGAGGCGGATAGTAAACTTGGTGAATTGGTTTACCATTCCAAGAAAAGAGCGATTTTCCTGCTTTTTGTGGAGGAGGCACATAGAGAATGGCTTGTATTTTTTGTGGATCAAGTTAAATGCACTAGAACGAACGACTTGACGCAAGAATTTTGATCGTGCTTGTGACATTAGGGACCTTAAGATTTTACGACGCGCTTGTCAACAACGCGAACGGAAGTACAAATGAGACAACTGCGCATGCGCAAGAGTCGTTTATTTTTTTGCACACGTACGACGCGGCGTTTTTACTTGTTTCGGAGTCGTTGTAGAGTGGAACACCATCTTGCGAATTGGAGAAAATAAAAAGGTTGAAAAGTCCTATTTCTGCTACTCTAGCAAGTGAAAATAACTGCTACTCTAACTGCCAAGCCATAGACATTTAATAAAAAAATTTATAATGAAACATAATCGCCCAAGACATCTTGTAAACTAAAATTTAAGTCAGATCTAAAACATTTCAAATAGTTTAAACAAATTAAATAATCTTGGTTCAAACAAATAGTGCTTTAGATTTAAGTTTACAACGTGCCTTTTTTCTGATTATGTCTTATTTTGTATTAGATGTTTATTAACTCTTTTTATTCGTAATAGGCGATTCTTACTTCAAGTATGACTTCTGAAGCATCATACTCAAATCAAAAACAGACCTTTCGTGCGGAGATATATTAACAATTAAAAACTCTCAAAACAATAAGTACGTTCGTCACAGTATTGTACAATAGACTACGCCTTGCTCACATACATCTAAATGAGTGATGTCCTTATCAGTTTCCGACACAATATCTAGCAATTTTTGCTGGCAAGGGGGCTGCACTTCCCTAGTTATAATAACTTCCAGTATATTAATTTATGGAGCGACGTCGTATGGGCGTCAAAAAAGGACAAAATTACAAATGCTATACATTTAGATCGAACGGTCGTAAATTATATCAAACGCTTCTAAGAAGCATTTGAAACAAGCCAGCGTAAATCAAACTTACTCAAAAGCAAATTGAAGTTACCACACAACCACAAATCGATCGGTCAATTATGGCAAATTATATCCTGACAATATAATTTTAAATTTAACCCGGGGAGGCAAGAAAAATCAGTATAAAAATGGCTATGGGCGTAAGGGACCAAAAAATTGGGTGCAGACACTTTTTTGAAAACTGCTCAACATTAAAATCTTTGATATAAAAAACACTATATTGTTGGATTGCTTGGCTAAAGCATAATATTGAGGTGAAAAATATCGCAAAACTGTTTCTATACATCATATTGCTTAATACTTTAGCTTTTAATAACTGATATCGTACCTTACTTAGCTATTTGTAGATGACATATTTTGTCTTTCTATAATAATTTTAAAGGTAATGGTTGCTGCTTATTTCCAATTAGTCGGAAATTTTGCACAAAAGGGGCGAACAATGCACGTATGAACGATAAAGTAGAAATCTGGATTGTTAAAAAAAGTAGCAAGAAATAAGCAATGACGTAGGAAGAGGAAAGCCTTTTGGGAAAGTCCCAGGAGATAGGGCTTACTGGAAAATTTTGTCATTATGTCATATATATATATAAGGAATTATGTGATTATGAATTTTTTAGTCAAACATACAAATAAGATTAATACGAATTCGTTACAGCTGATTAACAAAGAGTTACCAAAAGATAACACGTGAAATGTAAAAATGGCGAACAATTTGTAAATTTTTCCATACTTTTAATTTTAATGTTTTTGCATTTCTATTCAACATGTTATATAGAAATCACCTCATCCCCAAACATTATAAAGAGGCCTTTGCATGACAATTCCCATATGAAGGGCTTAGGAATCGAATGTAGTTCTTTTAACCACAATAGAATTAGCACATGATGCACAAGAAGAATGACGCTTTAAAGATCAGACACTTAACAAAGGACAATTTTATTTTGACAAAATATTGCGTTGTTTTCCCTTTTGCGTGTTTGACGTTGTGATTCTGTTAAAATTTAACCATAGAAAAAGAGTTAATATAAATTAAAATACACGGCACCTTTCTATTGTACTCGCTTTGAATATTTGTCTTTATAGTTTTCTGTTATCATACTATGTTAAACTGTCCAATCGTTCGACTACTACATATTTTATTCAATTGAAACGTCGAAACCAGAAGGCGTAGTTATGGATGACAATTATTGCCTCGACAAGTTTGAAGCCTCGTTACTTCGCCTCCCTCTCCCCCCCATTCCCCAGTAAAATGAAAAGTCAAATATTGTTTTGTTTGAATAAACAGAATTTATTTCACATATTTAATCTACGTATAAATGCTTTTATCGGACAGCACTATTTAAAAAGATAGCAAAACAAAAGTCAAAGAGAATTTGCACTGTACTACAGTTTCTTCCTATTTGCCTGTTCAAATTAGTTTTGCTTTTAAAGGATTAATTTGTCTATTGTTTTTTCCACAATAGACCAAATATTTCCCGACTTTTCAGTAGAAATTACCCGACGTTGCTCCCTTAGCTCAAAATTGGGGGTGCTGCAGCACCAACAGCACCCCCACCTCGTACGCTTATGATTATGGCCGGCCTTATATGGCTTCAGAGACTTGAAAATTTCGACGATATTTTGAGTTTTTTTACTCACGGGTTTATGAGGCAGATGAAACTAAACAAAGACTTATCGGTTTGATAAGTAGTTTGTTAGAAGCCGTCCGTTAGAACCCTTAACATACAATTTGGTCTTTTCACTCTACGCACGGCGGAGGTGGAAGAGCAAGTTAATCTTTTCTTAGAAGCGTTTGATATAATTTACGACCGTTCGATTAAAATGTATAACATTGGTAATTTTTTCCTTTTTGTACGTCCATAGATGTCGTGACCAGAGACGTGACCGATGTGGATACTGGGACAATCTATTCCGAAAGCGGAAACACAAATGGAGAAGCGGGATGTGTCAGGGGTCTGGCACGAGAGTTTGTTTGTTGTATTGTCATATTGTCGAGAAAATGGAGGGTAACTTGCTGTGAGCTTGTTGGTCGTGATCTGTTGATAATTTCTTGCTCATTTTCTAGAAAATCGTAAGTATGTCATCAAGAACTTAACCTTTTATACACTGTCTTGTTTTAATTTTCAATATTGCGGGTAGTTTATTCAGTAACGGAGCATTATCACAACGATTTTTGTTGTGAACTTATTTACATATGGCATTGCCATTTTGAATCCTTTGTTGTGAAATTACGTATGTATAAACGATGAATTGACTGTATATTATAACTTTGTTTCATTTTATGTCGAAAATGAACTTATCTGTTTCATGACATACACGTTACATAACGAATTCCTTATGACATAAATGAAGTAGACCATCGGAAATATTTTAATAATAGCAACAATTATTAATCTATTAAACTGAAGCGATGACTACTAAAAAAAATGCTATTTTGGCTTTTATTACTCGTTATTTTCAGGATCTGAACTTAGCTTTGCTCGTGTTTACTGCTTGTGTTCTTACAGCTCTATGTGGTTGTAGAAAATATGGTTTGAAACACCTGACTAAACATCTCACCTATTGTTGTTGAAAATTAGCCTTAGCATTAGATCTTTTGTTCAAAGGTAACTTAGTGATCTAGGATTGTACTTATTTCCTTGTTTTTTTTCCTTTTCTTTTGAACAAGTATTTTGCTTGAGCTGTATTTAAGTTGAATGACCTTTTTCTCATAAAATCTTCAACATTGTATGGAATTTTGTTTTTTCTCAGTTTTATTTTTGAACTGCATTTACTTATCTGCTTTTCAAATAGAAAATCACTCAAAATTTCCAGTTGAAGGACTAATGTACAAACCGTAGCTCTATTGTTCTGTATATAATATAAACTTCTGAATTTTATACTTAAAAAGAATGACCTAGTATACTATAGTAGTTAAAAGTTTACAAACTTCAGAATGCATGTGTTGACAATTTTTTGAGAAAAATTAAATTAGTTGAATTTTAGTACTCCAAAGTGGCTTACACCTTTACCCAGAAAATATTGATCACAGCCTTGTCTTTTATTCTAATTTTGCTCTATAAACTGAATTTCAAACACAAGTTTATATTTTGTTCCAAACCCAGATTTTATTGTTATATACTTTGTGGTTTGTTGTTATGCAGTTGTTTGTAGCCAAAGTGTTGTTAGAAACTAGTACTCAAAGTATTTTGCTTAAATTTTAAGTTGATAGTGAAGCATATTTGCTTTCGCTGTTTTATCAAGTCCTTTCCAATTGAAGTAGGATACATTTTTAACTTGATGTCTAAAAATGTTTACACAGCATAGTCGTGCTACTGTTATAGAAATTACTTGAAACAACAAGAAACAGATTTTCTCTGGTGGCTTACACGATTTGAAACTTAACTTTAATGTAATTTTTTCAAATATTTTATTTAAAACATTTATCATGAACAGTGTAGCCCAGCGTAGGAATGAACAGTGTACCATGTACAATTTGAACATTGTTTTTGCTGAAATATAAAAAGTGCACTTAATTTTTTTAATGATTTGGAAAAAAGTAAATGTGCATTGATTAGTAGCATACAAATTGCCATTATTTGTATTATGAGATCAATGATTTTTTATAAAGCGATTCAGACATCAATAAAAACATAAGAAATACCCTAACAATAAATATGCTTTTTAAAAATATTAGTTAACTGTTGCATGGTATTAAGCATAATGGAGTATTTATTTAATATAAGTCTAGGTACCTGCATATAAAAACTATTGATGGGGACATTGAATGTATATATTTTTTGAAATTATTGCATATCATTTTTTGTTAACTAATTCACAAACAAGTGCAGCCAGATCACAATATTGGTTAAGCTATGTCAATTTTAGAACATTTGTTACTCATTTAGAAACCTTTGTTTATCTAGTAACGATAATGTAAGCAAAATAAACAGGTTGACTGTGCCATTTCAGCTCATAGAAGTGGCATAGAGTATGCAAAACTGTTTAGTATCTAAAATATTGCTATGTAGCATTACAGCCCCATGTGTCTGACAGATGTCTATTGATATGAATTTGTATTTTTAAAACTAACTTTAACATCATCCATTTGCTCATGACCTAAACAACAAATCATATCTTTTAAATTTCGTTAAAAAACAAACAGTTTTTGAAATAAACATTGTAATTATTGACAGATATTCAAGCATATTGGGTTATGTATAATTCAAATTTTTTGGAAACTTTTGAAATTTTAGAAATATTTTTGGAAAACATTTGATGCAAAATTTATGACATGCCAAGTATTTCACCTTAATTTTCCAAAGGTGTAATTAAATTCATGGCATATGAACAAGAAAATGGTTGCTTAAATCATATGTACCAAATCATGTTTCAATTTTTTTTGTTTACAAACGAAATTCTGCCGAATAACATCAATTATCTAATAATACGCCTTAGAGTGTTAAACAGTGACTTGCAAAATCAACCAGCCACAACTAGATATTCGAGTTATAAAATAGCCGGAGCCGGAGTTCAGAACTGACACGAGGCTGAAGCCGGAGATAAAAAACCGAAGTTTTCACGGCACTATCATGAAGAGAAGAAAAAGTTCACACATCTCCGAACTTTGTTCACCATCTGGCAACACTGAACACGCAATTCACGAACGTTTTAAGATCACTCGCTTTAATCTCAACGTGTATGTAGATGTGAGAGACTATGTTTTATACGGCTGCTAAAGATTCGCAGTTTGTCAAGTTAAGCTTCAATTTTGTTTTTTAAACAATGAACTTACGTTAAATTTTCTGTTTATAAATATTATTTTCATCGTTATTACTAATAGTAGCGTAGCCAGTCCGCATATTTGGTCATGCTTAGCGAATCTCCCTGCTTTTCCATTGATCATTTTAGTGATAGTCTATTGCTTTTGCAATGAATTTCAAGATATTTTCCATTCAAGAGAAAGTAAACGAGCAGGCTACACCTCTGTTCGCCATGATATATTGTTGTATTGCATTCTTAAAGTGCTTGTTTCTTCCTCCATTTTATGTTAAGGTTCTCCTCATTAAAAATTCTTTTCGAGAGCATCGTTTACAAAAGTGGAAGGACAAGGGTTCACAGTTTCTATAAAGGAGTCTGTACCCACGGTGTCTGGTGCTTTTACCGGTGCCAAAGCCAACGAAAGTGATACTGCAGCTGCACAAGCCAGTTTTCAACGATGGGTACCTCCACATATTGCTCGAGAGACAGAAAAATCAAGCGATGCCGTATTTAGACGAGTCAGAGCGTATGTATTTAGTTGAAATTATGGCTAGTTTACGAAGTTTATTAAACCAAAGCTACGCGCGCAACTTTTTTCACCGCCATTTTTCGAAGTTGTCTACAAATGTGGTAAACTTCTGATTACACGTGACGCATTTTTTACATAAATTTTGATCTTTCATCTCATAGGCGAGAATCGTTTTGTCGTGTAGTGTTTTTCCAGTTAAAGGAGCTACGCAAAGTAAAATCGTAAAGACTCCACGAAAAATATTCAACTTGTTATATCACGATCAATTTTTGCTCGTTTTCGATCGGAACGATTTTCAACGTTTGTTGACAACATCAAAAATTGTGATAAAAAAAAGCGCTCGCGTAACTATAGAAAAACCTACACTTTGCATATGAAGTAGCGCATGTTATGATTTTTTTGTTTCTGTTGTGTGTGAAAGAACTGCGAGTAGTTTCACCTTTTTGAGTTGCATTTATTTTTAGAATCCTCAACAAACTCACGCCTGAAAAATTTGATAAATTGTCTGATGAGCTTCTTCATGTTGGCATCAACACAAAATTCATTTTAAAGGGTATTATACTTTTGGTAAGTTTGTATGTGTGTCTCTGTGTCAACTTTTTACTATACTATCTACTTCTGTTTATACCACTATATACTAGTATGGCTGTGTTAGCCTGTGTTTTTTCACGAGTTGTTTTCTTTTGATTTGAATATTTGACGTGCTGTGTAGAGATGACAGTGTGCACCAATAATATTACAGTTATTGCTTCTTGCCAGTAGCCAAGTTAGCCTGTTTTTGACTCCTACAATGCAAATATTTTTGTGTGCAATCACCTTAACAATGTGTTGAAATAATTTTTTGTTGAGCTATCGATGTATGCGCTCCTGTTTTTTATATTGAAATAAAGTTCTTATGTTACACGACATATTTTTGCCAGGTTTATGAAAAGGCTCTCGATGAACCAAAATACAGTTTGCTCTATGCCCAGTTGTGTTTACGTCTTTCTCAACTTGCTCCTAATTTTGACGATCCTGGAAAAGCAGGGCATTCGGTAAGTGCTTGAGAAAATGGATGTTAGGCCTAGTTTGAAGTCGAACTTTACATGAACTTTACATGAACTAGACATGAACTAAATGCATCAAAGACAAAAGAAAATGAGATGAACTCCCTCATTATCTATTGCTTTAAATGCATTTTATTCATGTAAAGCTCATTTAAAGTTCGACATCTAAACTAGGCCTTAGACTATTTTTTTGTGGATCGACATTCGTGCAACTCATTTAAACGTAAAATTCTCAAATGGAGAATTGAGACTATTTTTTCTCAGAAAATCGAGACTATTTCGTCTTTCTGACGGCGAATTCGCTACACGAAATTTTGTCCAGTAATAGTACATCCAAGTTCATAGAAGGCAAAACTATGTTTCAGAATTAGGGATTCTAAGTTTTGCATAATTCTCTCTAAACTGTGCAGTTATTTGTTGGGGAGGACGGTGTTGTAGTCCTTCATGGATGAAATGTATTTCCGCTTAATTTAGTACATGCACATGGGTTATGTTTTTATTCAATGAATCTTCTCCATGAATTAAAAATAGGTACACTGCGTACATATGGGTACCCTGAAAAGTCTATAGCTGCTGCATGAAGTAGATTCAATGAACATAGTTCAATAAAATTTTATGACATGTATATTAGGGGCTGATTACGTGGGCGAGTTGTCTCGTCTAAGCAAGTTGACCCGCTTAGCCTAGTTGACTTGCATTGCAAATGTTATATATATTATTATTTCGATTACATAACAATCAAGTTGTCCAGTCTAGCCGGAATCCCGGTTGTTGCTTGCCGAGTTACTCGTATAGGCGGTTTGAAAATTTCAATGTAATTGCATTCTGCCGAGTTTGCTCGGCAAAGCGCGATAAAAAATTTGATTCACGCGTGTGTTTATTGGTCAGTTTAAATTGACATAGACGTTAGTGCATGTCTCTGTTCAACCAGCGGCTACAAGCTTCCAAAATTCACCGGAAAACTTGTTGCCCAGAGGTTTGAATGGGATACCAAAATAATAAAAGATTAACTGGGTGTGTTATAAAAATATGAAAGGTTACCATATTTTCGTAAAAGCTCTATCGCTATTGCGCATTTAATGTCAACGACGACGAGTTTTTTGAAAATAGACATGTTTCGACATCTCATGATGCCATCTTCAGTGAAATAATAAATGATACAAGGTTTATATAAAAGTAATATGATACATAAATTATAACAAAAATAAGGAAATGAGATAAATTAATTGAGAGCATGTTACAAACTAAATATTGTGTTGAATCGAAAAGCTTGAACATTGAGTTCAAGGTTAGTTTTGTTAATGTGGAGTGCATTTTGATTTTAAGGGAGAATGAGGTGTCTGCAGTGTCGATGATTTTGAAGCAAGAGGGTGAATAGTTGATTTACATATTGAGATTTAAGAAGGTGCTGGTAGATATGAGAGTTTTTGTCTGTTGTGGTATGTTCCCTGATTCTGGTGGATAAACGGCGCGAAGTTTCGCCAAAATATCGGGAATTACATCCCGCGCAATTATATTCATATACCACCATTGATTTAATTGAATCGGGGATTGGGTCTTTGAATGAGAAATGTCTTTTGATTTTGAATGATGTGAAAATTAGTCGAACGTCTATATTTGTACAGAAGCGTTTCATAATGTTCGTAAGTCTGCGCTGTGTGTGTTGTGAGTAATGTCCGATGTATGGTAGTTTGAAGTATTGAGTTTTTATTTTGGAATTATTGTTTGCGTTTGTCGTGGTCGTCGTATCAGGAGTTTCAGTGTCCAGTTTGAGCTTACTGGTATTTTCTTGTGTCGAGATATCGTACCCTCATTCTGCTGGATAAATGGCGCGAAGTTTCACTCAATCATCCGGACACTTTTTCATGTAGCATAGTGTTTAGCTGCGCATGCGCAGTGGCTACCCACTTAAAGGAGGAGCATCATAAAAATGGTTGTACGCATCCCCATATCCTGTCAAACAAAATGTGCTTACTTTAATTTGAAGTGTTGCTGCCAGTAGCTGTAGTAGACTGATGTAAGTAGTTAAATACATGACTGATCACGACAATGAGCATTGACCTCTGTATTCAATTAATCGAAACATCTTAATACTGTCATATTGTTACATTGATAATAACTGTGATGGCTTCGGGGGATGGGGAGACTCTTGGTCCTTGTGTGAGTAATCAGAACGAACATTGCTATTTTATAACGTTTCCGTGGATAATACTGATTTAGAACAATGACGAATTCTTATCAAACATTGATGAATTCTTTACTTTTGTTGTTCACAAATATTTTGCTTCATTCGTGGTTTCACATCGGCTTAGAAACTTTAGCTGAAGTCGTGTGCTCACGCATACTGAAGGATTTCTGTTTTTACAGACATTTCGCCGTCTTTTGCTCAAGCAGTGTGAAGAAGAGTTTAACAGCCGATCAAAAGCCAGTACAGGTAGTTATATATTATTGATATGAAAAGTGTGTGAATATAGTGTCCACAATTACTATATATGCACATGCATGCAGTAGTTTCTGCGCAAAAGTTTTTTCAAATCATCTGCAGCATTATGTAGCAAAGAAAGAGTAAATTGCATCGTAATTTCTGCAATTTTTCTCCGTAGAAATATGCAAAATGGCGAAATAGTTTTGTCTTAGCGTCAATTTTTTTCTATAGTTATTTGACGCTATAATTGCAACAATGTGGTTTGCCATTATACTTTTTTAACGGATGATGTCTTATTTATAGCTATCTTTTCTGCTGAGATACATTTGATTTTTTCTTTCGACCGTTTTCATCTGTGTGTTTACCGACTTTCTTATTACATACGTAGAGGAATAAAATTGTTTTTTGTGTTTGTCTTGTCTTGCAGCTCTCGATAGAAAAGATGGAGTTCTTAGTTTGGAAGAGGAAGAACAGAGAGCAAGCAATAAACGGAAGATGCTTGGCAACATTAAGTTTATCGGTTTGTACTTCCGTATATCTGTACTTTGTTTCCAATTGATCAAAATATATGCACTGTTCCTTCGACTCTTAAATATAGTAGTACCCACAATACTGGAATTGTTCTTCGTACGATATATTATCCTTCAAAATTTTGTTTATTCAGTCTGCAACATTATGCTGCGTCAACCAAATATGAATAGAACGTGCATTTGAATAGAACGTCAATATACTTTGATTGATGTCTTTTGACAATGTCTATTTTTTGTATCATTATCATGTTTTATAAAATGAAACGCGTGCGCTGATTGGTCTACAGCTGTGTTTGCATTAGCCTGTGCAAAGCACATCTGAGCTCAACCAATCAAATCAATCAAAACAATCAATCAGTCAAAGAGAGTTTGCAAATCGATCATGAATACATTTTTGGAGAAAAATATTTGTCTTTTTCGCATTAATTTCGACCTTCGGTCTAAGCCTGCAAATTTCTGGACTATATTACTAAGTTAATTAAAAGCTAATTTTGACAATTGCGATGTGTTTCTTCTAAAGGGGTCCAAAGCTTTCATTAGAATGTTTTGGGGGTCCGTGACCAACAAAAGGTTAAGAACCCCTGGTCTAAGGCTTGCACTGATCTGCTCTCGAGTTCTCCCAAAGGTCTCCTTGGTTTGCATAAGCCCGTGCTAACACAGTAAACATCTTTAATTTTTTAAATATTTTGTTTTATCATCGTAGGTGAACTCGGTAAACTGGGCATGCTGCACCAGGCGATACTCCACAAATGTATTAAACAGGTTTGACCTATAGCTGTATATTTTTGCACCTGGGCTAACGGAATTTTGGCATATTTTTTTGTTCTCCACGACCTGTTTCAGTAACCCATGCTTTGGAAAACGAGAATCTGTCGAAGAAAAACGTTCAGCTAAAGTTTAAGAACATGTGCGTTCCGAGAAAAAACCAACCCAAAGTCCCTTAAAGTGCATGTGACACGAAAATTTTACTTTTTTAAATTATATTTTTATTCAACAAAACTTTCAAAATGACATCGTACTGTCTAAAACAGTTTCTCCGTATCACTTTTCATTCTCAAGATATTGAAGTTTTTGTAATGTCCAATTCATACAACTTGTTCTTGTTAGGTCATTTTCATTTTCGCATCGTAACAACATGTAATTGGCGTGTACGACAGTTTTCTAATTTTCAATATGAACGTAATAGCCCAATATAAGACTTTTAAAAAAGCCATCACAATAGTAAAATAAAGAAAGATATAGTAATAATGTTTCGTCTTTAACTTAAGACATTTTCAGATTATTTGAGATAAATTATATACATGAGGTTTTAAATACAAGCTTATATTACAGGGTGTTAAATTACATGTGAGGGGAGTAATTTAACACCCTGTAACACGTCACTTGCTTTGTTTATAATCTTACTTTTATATTTATATTAAGTAAAGTATCTTTTTAAAAACACGAGTGCTGATTTGTTGAATGCCCGAAAAACCCGTGTTGCTATGACTTTGTAATCACACGTATTTGCAAGCTGGCCAAAGTCTGGCAGGCTGTGTGCTTTGCTCGAGAAATTGAAAAGGCAAAAACATAAACTGTATGTCATTGAAAATCATAAATTTATCTTTTTGCATTGTTTTTAAAAAGGGTATTTTCTAAAGGAAATAGAGAACATTCCGTGTATATGTTTCTATGTGTAGAGTTGTAGAAACACTTGAGAATGTTTGGGTAAAACTTAACGCAATGTCGCCTTTTCTTCCAAACTTTCCAGCTATGACTATAATTCTATATTAGTTTGCGGAAAATGTTTCTTATTTCTTAACTTATATCTTCCATTGCTCTTTAAGCTTCTGGATAAAAAAAAGCGCGCGACAATGGCAGATATTTCGGAAGATATGGAATGCTTGTGTCACTTGATGAAGACTGTTGGACCACAACTTGATGTTCTCAAAGCAAAGGTTAGAGTTTTCCTTTTGACTTGCAGTTTAATTAAATATTTGCTTGTCATATGTGATTAATGTAGCGATAAAGAGTTGGCGTTTTTTCAAACAACGAAATTAAGTCTGACAAAGTACATTGATCTTGCAGAGATTTATATGTTTAAAAGCTGATTCATCTATGTTGCTGACGTGCTCATTGTCATGCTTTGATCTTACTATAGTTATTTAATTCTAATTCGAAAATTTCTTAACCCAGAACTACTAAGTAGTTTCGCACATTTGAACAATTTATTTCGTAAAATGCAGTTCTCACAGGCCTCGTTCTATTTTTTTGCCCAGGCACTGGGCTTTGCATGCAACACTTAGCTGAGCTACCCTATTGTAGGTATTTCCGAGTGCAGTATAATTCGGTGCATTGAAGGGAATGCTTTTTTCCAAGTTAATCGAATTTATAGAAACTCTGCAGTGATCAACCGCTTTTTTTTGCAGCCACTTTTTGATCAATACTTTGATCGGATCCATCACATTCTGAAGAATACCGATCTGCCATCCCGCAATCGTTTTATGCTTCAAGATATGATCGAAATGAGGAAGAATAAGGTAAATCTTAACAACATGGCATATCATCGTTCTGTATCTTTGCATGTGATTTAGCGGAATCACACTTATTTTTGCACTGTGTTCTCCTTTATGTTTAATGATCCCTTTCTTTAGAAAATCAATTTGGTATATTTATGAGTTGCTCCTTTGGATTTACCATGAAAAGATTTTTCTATACAGCTTAGCGTATATCGTGTGGGTCCCCTAGTCTAGCTGTCCTTTGATACGGGGCTTTATTCGTAAAGTCAGAACATTCATTTCCCATACTATCGCCCAAATTCTCGTAATGCTTAAAGAATCATAGTAAACCACTATGCAATGCGCTCTCTGTGAATGTATAAAAGTTTTTGTTGTTTATAGATAAAAAAAGTATTTTTAGAAGCTTGCTAGAGATTTTTTTTTTATAAACTTATATAATTGGGTTGGTAGAAACTCATTCAAAATTATATAAGCTTAACGGTTGAACACATACCTAAAAAAGAAGACCAAAACTTGGTATTCATATAAATATTTGGTATTTGAAATCAAACACTACTAACTATTGTCGAAGTTGTACTAAGATTCTAAGAGGAAGATCATCGTGTGATGGAATAAATTATCATATTTAGCACGAATAGTAACAAACAAGAGGCGCGCGTTGCATTTTGGTTCACAATGATTCGTTTTATTTCTTATGTGATTTCAGTGGGCACCAAGACGTGCTGCACAGGATAATTCAGCTCCAAAACTGATACGTGAAATCAGGCAAGATTCCATACAGGTCAGCCAATCTATATTGTGTGTTACTGTACACTTCCCCACAAGTACTGTTAGTGATCCAAGAAATGCCCCCTAACAATTGCACTCCCCGTATCTAATAGAGCGCCCCATCTCTAATAGAGCCCCCCACCACGTTAACAATATGATGTTATAATTATAACGCCCTTAATGTATTCTCCCGGAGGAATAAGTGAGTTCTGTCTTTCAAATCTCAATGTTTCCCGAGACGAAGTCACCGAGACTCCAGAGAAAACCAAACTCGATATGTCCCGACGATCACACATAACTGTTTTGTTATATTGATACAGAGATCATAGATTTTAGCAGCTTTACAATAAAATAAACGTCTTTCGGTGGAGATTCGTCGGGCAAAATCTCGTTGGAAAATGCAATAATAGCGACCACATTTTTTTGGTCTAGTTTCCAGTGTTTTCTAAATCGTTACTTTCTATTATTATATGGCAAGTGTCACTTCCGGCAAAATGGCGCGCTTTGATTTTCTCAGAAACATTTTTGCTGGTCCATTATTTTCCGTGGTGAACCACGATCTAAAATGCGAAATTTTACAGTCAAATGTAAACAAACGTCGTAAAGCAAACAGCAAAACGCAAAAAAAAACGAAACAAAGCACGTTTGCGAGTGCGAGTCGAAGGAAAATCACTTGGAAAACGGTTTAACTATCCAGACGATTCAATTTGAAACGATTAATTTTTTACTGACGAAAGCTAGAAAATTGACTAGGACGACAAAGAAAGCTGGCGTCGTTTGAGGTCAAATAAAGCCATTTATTAAACGTTTAAACTTCGCTTGCTCGGTCTTTACTGAGAAATATTGGACAAAAATTCTTGGTCTGATAGATCTCCGTAAAAATCTCGAGGTCGGTCAATAAGGGCTTATTGATAGTTGAATTTCGTCGCTTAAGCTCGCGAGAAATGTTTTTTTTAGTTTTCGAGTTTTCGGCTTCGTGTCTGTTTTATTTGTTATAATATTAAAATAAGCGGGCAACAATTTTTCACTTGTTTTCCTGCCAGGAAACATTTATTTGAAGTCATGTGACTACGAATGAACCAATCACATTTTACATACACGGCACATATACATTGTGAGTTATCCATTGAACTGAATACAATTGGAAGGCTTTTTCCCGCCAAAAGTTAAATCCAGCAATTTAATTATAGTCTTAATCATTCCACGCGCGCTCGAACTAGCCTGTGCATTGAACTAAAATACATCTGGAACGATAACTCCTATAGTTTTGTCCCATGATTGGTTGAAGCCAAAATACATGTGAAATTTGTCAAACACGCCCCTCCTGAAAGAATGCTTGCTTTTTTCGGCGTCCGATGTTTATTTTGCTTCTTGGCACTAGGAAAACGTGAAAATAATGAATTAGTGTTGTTGTTTTACACATTTTGTGCTTTAAAATTGCATCTAGGAGAATTAGTTCATGCCACAGCAAGATATTTTCGAGGCGAAACGAGGACGATCGATCGACAAACTAATTCAAGTGTACAAGACGGGACTGAATGTTAAAAAAATATGAATGCTATATAAAACATATTTGAATATTCACAGCATTTTATATAACTTTTTTTGTGTATGATTCATGGCCTTTACGTGTTGATAATAGTCCAGTGGTATATTTTGTTTGATGACACACAATTTTCCTTGTTTTTTTCATTATTGTTTTCGTATGAACTACCAAGCTTATTGTCCCGCAGTGATAAGCATTGTTTTTATTTTCTTTTTCTCTCATTTTTGCTTTACACAGACATGATAAGAATGGAGCGTTGCTTTTTTGAAATAATGTCTGGATTCTTATGCATTTAGCTACATCAATAGAATAGCTTTTTAAAAACTCTTTTTGCGGAGGTCTCACTTTTCTTTATGACAGCGAGCTGTAATTTATTTGCAGTATTTGTATTTTCATGGCATGAAAAATGCTTCTAAAAAACACATTTTTCTCTTTGACAAATAACTCAATTTTTAAGAAACCTAATAGGCTTGTGTATTTAACGTGGAACTACAATATTTAGGTGGTTTGAACGTTTGGGTATACCTGGAACTTTCAAAAACTCAGAAAAAGCAATAAAAATCGCGTGGACTTTTCGTAATTTTCGTCTTTGCTTCAAAATTTCTTAGCAATTTTATGACTTTTGGCTAATTTTTTTTGACATTCTATAATTTTCACTAATATTCGTCAAATTCGATGGTATCTTGAAAAACTACCGCAGGGTTTATTTTCGAAATTTTACAAATATAAAAATGCTATCTTTTGAAATTTTCTTACAAAAGGACTGGCGCGACCTGCAAAAATGAAAAAATCTGGCTTCATTTTACCCCCTAACTTATCGTTACAGATGTATTTTAGTTAAATGGCCTGTTCATCCAAGGGTTGCCTTCCAGTTGTATATTTAGTTTATATGGGTTCTTGATTGGGTTTAGAATATTATTTACATTTGCTCACACTAGTGCAATGGAATTGATACAATATTGTACGCTATTGTACGCCTTTTATTTATTTACCCTCCCCCCAAACCTGTACAATTTATTTATCTTCCCCCAGAACCTCTACAATTTACTTACCCCTCCCCCTAGAACCACTAAAAGGTATTTAAGATATAAGGCGTTTATTGGATTGTTTAAGGTGTACACATTCAAAGTAGTATATGGTAACATTGTGTGCACGGTTAATGAGTTGTTTCTGTATACTTTAGGGTAGAAAAGGGGGCATGATAAATCCTGCTGAGCCTGCGTTTTCACACGGACTTCGTTACAATAAGAAAGGAAGAATATCACCTGGCAGAGGCTTTGAAGATGTCTTTATGTCCGACTCAAGCTTTGATTCATTTCTTCCTGTCAATAACTTTGGCGACATAAGTATTCACGATGACCCATTTTATTCCATTCATGGCTTCCAAGCAAGGTAACAATTTTATGTCAAGTTCTTTGTAGTAATCTTCAGCTTTTATTCTTTTAAAAGATAAACTAGCCTTTTGAAAATCGGAATTAGAGGCAATTTGAATGTTTAAGCCCGCCGCACATTGGTGAATTTGCCGCGCGTACTTGTTATTCGTGACAAGTGTGATCGACAAAATTTCCTAGTGTGCTCGGAAGTTTTGAACAAATGCGTTTGATATTTTGACTCATCTGTCACGAATGACAAATGTTGTTCAAAACTTTGAGTGACGAAGTCGTTGAGTAAATCGTGAGCCATGAATGAACGCCTTGTTTCTATATTCAGATTGGATGAGCTTCCCCCGGTTCGTCCAATGAGAGAGGAAGACCTAAACTATAGTTCTACTAAGCCCAGAGGAAACACTCCCGACTTTATGCCAAACTTCCAGTCTGCACAAAGGAAACAACCAGTCAATGAATCTAGACCAAGGAGAATGTTGGCACAGAAAAGTCGCACAGCTGATGGACAGGTATACGTACTTCTATTTTTCTAAGTTTGAAGGATTGACTTCTTGCAAAAGATATAGATGTTAGTCAATCGAGTTTTCCTTGTTAGTTTATTGTGACAAACACTTAGACAAATGGTTAATCCCTCTCTGTGCTATGAAACAATACGTATGTCATAAACAACGTATTTGTTTTCAGTTATGAAAAGCAAAATTTTTATTCATAACATAGTTTTCAAACCATTTTTTGACTGAAATTATTAGTTTTTATGATTCATGCAACATTTGTTTTTCAAGTATAATGTCACGATATTTTTATTTTGCATTTATATGCATCTTCTTCGTGATAATCCTTAACAAACCGCAATATGATTACGTTCGCCATTCAATAGCATTTTATTTTCGTTTGGATGTAATTGTGAAATTTGTCGCTGAATTAAAGTGTTAGCTTTCTGTTTTTACAATTGACCTCCCCACCCTTCTCTTTTTTGGGGCATTCTCTTCACATCGAAATTGAATTGAAATCAAGTTAATATTTTTTAGCAGTGTCTATACTGTAGTTTAAAGATTTGTAGTCCTTTTATATGTGAACAAGATATCTTTACATCGGCAATTTTCGATTTCTTAGTATAAAAATAACTGCCCAACATATAACTTTCAATATTTTGCCATGGGTAAATAATTTTATTAATAATAACGTTTCGTTTAACAAGACATCAGATTGAAATATCTTACACATAGGAAGTTTGAAAACATATATACTAATTATACTAATTATTATTAATAAAATTATTTATCCAAGGCCATATTGAAAGTTAAATTTTGGGCGATTATATTTATACTAAGATTTCGCTTTCCGCCTGGCAAATCAATTGTCACAATTTTGTCTTCCTGTTTTAAAGTTTTGTATTATAGAAAATTTGAAATGAGCATTCAGATCTCACTTTATACCTCTACACTGTACAGATAAGTCTTCGCCCAGTTCGAGACTCCATGGTCACGCAACCATCCTTGGCTCCTCGTACCCCACAAATCTCTTCGACGTCCAACCAACAAAGACAAACTGTAAGTTTTCCAGATTTAAAATTTTTGTTTGTCAATAATAATTCTTAAAAAGCAACAGGAGTGAAGGGAAGCCCTTTGAACCGTTGCATGAGGAAAATAGACTTTAGCAATGTGAGGTATAGTAACCACTTACCGATCTTTCCAATGTCTGGCATGCGCCTTTTACTTCCTGCTCACATTACGACGGCAGTCGTGTTGACGACTACGTCGTGAAAACATGCAATTTGACGTTTTATCGATGACGGCGGAAACAACTTCAATGTTTGGACAAAAACAACATAAGTATCCTTAATGTTTCCATCTTAAAGGATTATATAGGTCTACTTTGGTCTATACATATATTTATTTAAGTAAAAACTGCAAATGTTTTGTTTTCTGGAGCGTGAAGTACAAACAAAATAAATATCGCGGGTTCTGCTCTAATGTCAGGGGTTTCCTCGTTGCCAAAACAATGAATTTTCTTTATTTATAGTTTTTCTTGATATAAATATTCTACAGTATTTTTCATCGCCAAAAAATAGTTTAATTTAGAAAAAGTAGAAAAAAACAGGCCAGCAAGAAAATGCCGAAATGGATTAAACTTGTTTATGCTATTCTTTGACGAAGGTCTGCTAAATCACCTTAACGACGTCATAGCGTCCTAGACTCAAATCCCCGCGAAAAATTGACGACGTCTTCGACGAAACGACGTGTTTGCTAAATCTCTCTAATATCTGACCGCCGTCCGGAGTCCAATTGATAAGGAAATTCTAGGAGAAAAAAGCGCCGCGCAAAATCCGTTCTCTGATTTCAAACTTCAAGTTTTTATTTCAAACTTCAAATTTTGATTTGAACTTCATGCAGGACGACTAAAATCAACCGGATGTTATCATGTATGGGGAGTTCACGAAATGAAGTACAAGTATGGCGTCCGTTGCCAAGAGGTCTGTATACAGATAAGAGCATTATTTATTTCACTAACTAGAATCACAAACTTGGTAGTTGAGAAGTAAACATCGATTAGAGTTTTAAAAGCAAACAAAATGTATCCGGCAAAAAATTAAAGTTATCGAGGAAACTTGACTTTTGATGACATTATTTGAAATTTGTACAGCAAATATCAAAGTTGAAGCAAGAAGATAAATGTTGTGGGATGCACTTGATTTTTCGTGGGATTTGAACGCCATAGAAACGGCGCCATCTTTCACAAACAACTAACGAATTTTAAAGCAATAAACATTCAGGGCACGTGAAGGAAATTTCCCACAGAAGGCCTTAACAAAAAGTTTGAATGTAAATCTCGGAATTGTTTTTGAAAAGACAAAAAATGAATTGATAAGTAATTCTAGGTAGTGATTAATTATGTAATCTCTAATTTGGATGATAATTCCATGTTTGGTCACAGAATAGGCATCTAACAGAAGGCGTACTCGGCTAAAATCGTGGCGTATTTTTTCACTACGCATGCGTCACTTCCCAGCATAATACTTTCACAAAATCAATATGGAATAGTATTGCATGAGAATGCTATTTCACTAATAATTCACTTTGAAAGCAAACATTTGCCGAAATTTTTACAAAGACTTATCATCTTGCGAAGAAAATAAGGTTTCAAGCTTTTGTAGTGCAAAACAATATGTTTTTAAAAAATCTATATTATCTATTGCGATCTAGCGGAAGTATCTTGCTGGAAGGCGTGTCTGCTTAAAAATTTGCTTCACGAAAGTGGGCGAAACGAACATCAAAGGTTCCGACACGAGTAGACCTACTGTGAAGATATCTATTCTGTGGTTCGGTGTTAAAGCAAATACAAGATATTGATCGTTATCTCATAATCCAATCTTTGATCTTTTTGTACTAGGCTTTAGTAGGTTGTGGCCGGTGGTTATGCCCTATATAATTTAGTGGTTAGAGATTGGAATTTCGCGTGTTGATTGGATTAAGAACAAAAAAAACACTTGAGAAAAACGACGATTTTTTTGAAAGCAAACATGTTTCGACATTATCAGAATGCCATCTTCAGTGCAGAATGGTTAGTGTTAAGTAATATGATACGTAATATGATATGAATAAATTAATTACAATGATATGATATGAATAAACATGAATAAATATGATATGAATAAATTAATTACAATGAGTAGGTTTATGATTTAGTTACAAAATTATAAAATATTTACAAAAAGGAAAAGAAAAATAAGTATTAAGAACTTATAACAAAAAATATTATTATAAAGTAAATATAGTGTTGTAGTGGTGAACTTGGATATTTAAATCGGGATTAGTTTTATTAATGTGTAGAGCTTCCTTGATTTTGAGTGAGAAAGTGGATTGATCAGTGTCGATGATTTTAAAACAGGAAGGTGAGAATTTGTTTTTACATGAAGGAGAGGCTTGAAGATGTTTGTAGATAGTGGAGTTTTGTCTGTGTGAGTATGTTCCTTTATCCTGGTAGATAATTGGCGAGAAGTTTCACCAATATATTACATCCCGCACTTGAAAATTGATAAACTACCATAGATTTGGAAAGTTCGGGAAGTGGGTCTTTAAACGAAAATAAAGATTTTATTTTAAAGGTGTGAAAATAAGTTTAACGTCAACAGTAGCGTTTAATGAAGTTTGCGTTGTGTGTGTCGTGAGTAATCACCTATGTAAGGTAGTTTGAAATAACGTTCATTGTCGGGTTGTTGTATATCGTTAGTGTTAGTTGTGGAGTAGATGAGTCATCCAAATGTTGTATAGTGTTGTTGATGAAATGAAAAGGAAAAGAATTACGTTGAGAGTGAATATTAGTTTCAAATCACGTTGAAAGCCGATGTCTGTGCTGTTAAGTTTCCGTGCTCTGTCGGTCAGTGTTCGTATCAGTCCAATTTGTAATTTAATGGTGCGAAACTAAAAGTTAGTCAAGTCCTGTATATGTTGGTTTGTGGTACGTAGAGGTCATACAGTTTTCATGTGAAAGATGTCAAGAAAGGGTAACTGAATGTAAAGTTTATGCTTTGATGTTGTTTGTTTATTCGTAAAGAGTAATGCTTCGTCTTTGTTATGAAAATACAAAAATGTCGTCAACGTATCTGCGGTAAAATAAAGGTTTGTTGTTGCTGTAGTTATTTAACCAGTTTCGTTCTGAAAAATAGAATGGGTCAAACTTTCCAAATCTATGGTAGTTTATCAATTTTCTGCGGGATGATTGGTGAAACTTCTCGCCAATTATCTACCAGGATAAAGGAACATACTCACACAGACAAAACTCCACTATCTACAAACATCTTCAAATGTAAAACAAATTCTCACCTTCCTGTTTTAAAATCATCGACACTGATCAATCCACTTTCTCACTCAAAATTAAGGAAGCTCTACACATTAATAAAACTAATCCGATTTAAATATCCAAGTTCACCACTACAACACTATATTTACTTTATAATAATATTTTTTGGTTCTTAATACTTATTCCTTTTGTAAATATTTTATAATTTTGTAACTAAATCATAAACCTACTCATTGTAATTAATTTATTCATATCATATTTATTCATGTTTATTCATATCATATCATTGCACTAACCATTCTGCACTGAAGATGGCATTCTGATAATGTCGAAACATGTTTGCTTTCAAAAAAATCGTCGTTTTTCTCAAGTGTTTTTTAAAATTGCTGCTATTTAGAAATTATGGATTAAGAACAATTAGTACCGGAATTTGAAGGACATATGTATAGACGGAATAAAAATATAATTGTGCAACTGTTTGTAAATTGTAAAAACCCTTGTGGAATTTTTACTGGCTAACTACAAAATACACATCGCTTCATGTTGGGTATTATCGATTTATTAAATAATGTTGAGTTAAGCTAAGAACTATATTTAGCTATTTACTGTTACTTTTAATCAGAATGGTTAAATTAAGTTCATATTTTTATTTGATTTGATACTTTTTACATATTATCGCTAATAATAATTTAAAACTCTGATGATTGTGCAATTATTGCAATATGGTAGTTATTTTTGTACTCCGATCGTATATTGGACAACAAAAATTAGCTGTTTTCAAGCATATTTGCAAGGAATTTTGCAAGGAAATTTAGAAATTTTAGTAAGGAAATTTACACAGAAAAAGGATTTTTAGACTTCTTACATGAAATTTGACAAATCCATAGTGGATGCACTGGAAACATTACTTGTAAACACCCGCCAAACTGTAACAGAATTTAAGCGGATCGGTCTAAACGAAGTAAAGTTATCCCGTCACTTTTTGCTCCGGCGTAGTTTAAACTAGTCTTAATCAAACTTTTATATAGAACGGATTAACTTCTGGAGCAAACGAAAAATCAAAAGCCACCAACAAGTCTTCTGCTACCACAACCAAAGCTGACGTAGAAAAAAATTTGGTAATTATATGATCCTGCATGTTATGTTTGATTAGCCATTACCCTATTACCCCATACAGTAATATACCTTCAGGTATTTATCGACTGTTATTGCAATTGGACTGTTGAGAAGCTGTAATTGCACTGTAAATACTGTAACCTGATTTGCTAAAAAGCAATGAAAGCCAAACAAACTTGTTTTCAATTCAAAAAAAAAACATGGCGGAGTTGTAAGCAAACGAATATTTCCACAATTGCAATCGTTTGAAATGCAACAATTACAAAAGAATGCAAAGAATAAAAACAAAAAAGCAGGTGCTGTTTTTGGGTGAATGTTTTTGATAGTTAGGCCGCGTAACGACGCTTTTCTTAAAGTAAGAGACAGGGGTGGATCTAGGATTTTTCAAACATCAGTCATGGAACGCGGGAGGCGTTCCCCACGTAAGGGGTCCATGCTCCCACGGGAAATTTTGAATCTCAAAGCCTTGAAAATGCCATTTTCAGCGTTTTAGAGCAATATAAAATGTGTTTTTGTGGGTATCGTTTTTGCGTAAAAACAACACATTTTGCACAACATGTTTTGCCAAATATTTAGGCTCATTATTATGACAAATATATGGCTCATTGGCATGTCTAGGAACATAAAATTTATTTACAATAATGCTATTCCAAAAAAGATATTTTCTTAATATCTTTACCAAGTTGTCAGGCATAGACCCCCCTAGAGACCCCATTCACGCCTCTATGTAATGTGTTGAGTGAGGAATTAGGTACTACAAGTGACAGTTCATAGATGTAGAGAAAAGCTCAGACATCAAACCATGCAAGTTTATTGTAACCCTTAACCCATCTCCACATACAGTGCCAGGAAATTCGCCTTTTGAGAAAAAACTCAAAATTTTTTTCTGCCAAAGATTAAACAAAGATTATCAGAGTGGAAATTTGCAATTAAGGACAGTTTAATGCCATTAATGTTTATTAGGCATTATTTACATAGCTTTACGTAATATTATGTAACACATCCGTTTGACAGATGGATTTTAGTTAATAATATGTTTTGGCTCAAAACCACATTAAGGAAAGGCTTTATGAGTAATATTGTTGTTTTTCGATGTAAATTACAAAGCTCGCAACAGAAGTAAGTAAATTATGTGTTGTTTGCTTAAAGTTATTTTTTAACTTATCATGTAATCATGTTTAATTACAGATCGAATAAAATTACTTTGAATTATACGATTTGCGAGTCTCATGAATCCGATTGATAAAACACAATTTGATTTATTGTGAATTAACGGGCAAGTTTGGTATTTGGTAAAGCTGCTGTAATTTTTACATTATGTCAGACACCGAGGGTACTTTAGAAGCAATCAAAAAGGCCAAGATTAAGAGGAGGAACGGCAAGGCTGCTTTGATACGAATTGGCAACTCACTATGTACACAGTTATTAGCAAAAAGACCAATAGATGAAGTAAGGAAATCGTTGTAAACGTACGAACAGAGTTTTACAGATCTTACGTCAAAGCATGAGGAATTGACTATCCTTATAGAAGATGAACAGCAACTTGAAGCCGAGGAATCTTGGATGTGTGAGGTTCAAGATAAATTTATGTGGGTGAAGATAGAGGCTGAGGATTATATAAACAGGTTAAATATGATCAGGCAGTTACTCAGGGAGATGGTTTGATTGCCCAACAACATATATTTGAGCATTCCATAGAAATACCCACTGTCGTCCGAGAAAATATCCCAACCCACGAGGTATCAACAATTGAAGTTTTGTCTGGTGTCCAAAGCAGAAACAACAATGGTATTAGTGAGTGTAGATTTCAGATGGAAAAACCCAGTCTTCCTAAGTTTAGTGGAGTTATAAGAGAATATGCCACATTCAAGTCAGACTGTAAACACAATCTCGAAGCGCGGTATGGAAAACGAGAGTCTCTCACTATTTTGCGGTCTACTTTACATGGAAAACCACTTGATATGATTAAAGGGATCCGTCTAGATTATGGTGCTGCCTGGGAATATTTCGAATCAATATGTCAACCCAAGATATGTTGAAAACATGATAACACAGGATATGTCAAAATTCAGACCTATAAATGAAGGTGAAGATTCAAGGTTTCGTTATCTGGTGCACTTGGTACGTTGGAGTTTTAACACATTTAAGGAAGATGGCCGTGGGTATGATATGGGTAGTAAGCATATGCTGGAATTTATTGAGCGAAAGCTTCTCCCAGATGATAGAAAGGTATGGGAACGCTATGTGGAGAGTACCATGTCTCAATTGAGTTTAAAGAATTTATTAACCTGGCTAACAACTGAAATGAAAACAAGATTGCGTGTGAGTACTCCTTTAAGAAGCTCCTCATACGGAATAAAAGTAAACCATATTCAAGAAAATAATAGCTCTAGTCACAAATGCTGGCTGTGTGAGACTTCTTAACATTGGATCGATCAGTGTGAAAGATTTCTGGAGATGAATCCAAACGAACGCTTCAATCTAACTAAAGAAAAGCGATGTTGTTTTGCCTCTTTAAAACCAGCTGGTAGAGGCCATAATGCCTCCACATGCTTGCGCAGGCGCCAATGCACTGAAATGGTAAATGAAAATCAATGCAAGTTTTTTCACCATCCATTGTTACACACCCATCAATACACTCCTCAGGTATCATCTTTCACAACAAATGGGGAAACAATGTTACCATCAGTTCTTGCAGAAATAATCGGCCCTGGCAATAGAAATGAACAAAGAAATTTGTTACTTGATAGTTGATCTCAAATAAGTCTCATTCGTCAGTCACTTGCAGAAGAACTTGCTCTGAAAGGGAAAGCTGTGACAATAACAATGGCGAAAGTTGGTGGAGAGGAAGAAGAAATTGCAGCAAAAGCATACAGGTTTACCGTTCAGTCTTTAGAAAATCAGTCAAATCACATGATAACTGCCGTTGGTGTACCATACATCAGTAATGACATGGCAAATGTCAAACTGGAAAGTATAGAACGCAGGTTTGGTCTTGATAGAGGAAAGATCAGAAGAAAAAAATGGGCCTGTCCATCTTTTGGTAGGAATAGACCACTCAAAGCTGCATACTGGAAATTGGCAAGCTGATCGCAAGGAAATCACCAATGGGATGTGTTGTATTTGGAGTGGGTAGAAGAGTGGGAACCAAAGTCAGCAAAGTCTTTCATGTCAAGAGTGCATTGCCTATCGACATGACAGACTTTTGGACGACTGAGGCAATGGGTGTAGAAGGAAAACGATGTTCATGTAAAGCAGCCTAAATGAGCTCTATGGATGAATGCGAAGAAAAGATCATTGAAGACTCGTGTCGAAAAGTGGGTAAACACTGGGTTATTCCATATCCTTGGATTTAGGATCCGTTTGAACTACCGGACAACAAGAAACAAGCAAAGATCAAGCTGGAGGCTACTGAGCGTCATTTAGCGAAAATTCCGGATCATGCAATAGCCTATAATCGACAAATGCAAGAAATGAAGGAAATGAATTTTTTGCGGAAGTTGACTATAGAAGAGTTGCAGTCCCACAAAGGACGCGTGCACAACATTTCATACCATGAAGTCGTAAAGCCTGAGAAGAAATCTATGCCAGTTAGAATCGTATTCAACTCATCTTCAACACATCAGGGGCATAGGCTAAATGATTACTAGATGAAAGCTCCGGATCTTCTGAATAATCTATTTGGGGTCCTGCTGTGTTTCAGAGAAAATGAAGTCGCGATCATTGACAAAGTTTCCAAAATGTATCATAGGATACTTATACCAGAACAAGACCAACATGTTCATCGTTATCTCTAGTGAGACATGGAAGTTGATCGTGAGCCTGACGTATATGTAAAAACAGTACTGACATTTGGCGACAAGCCAGCTCCAGCTATGACATTGACAGCACTTCGAAAAACTGCCAAAGAAGTTGGAAATGATCACCCTGAAGCGTCGAAAGTCATCACGGATAATACATACATGGATGACATCGTGAGTCAGTGCATTCTATCGACCAAGCCCAAAGGGTTTGTCAGTAGATTTATATGTTTGTAAATGTAGATCTTCCAGGTTTGTATTCCTGAGAAGGACTTTTTTTGTTGTTGTTGACTGACGTTTCGACAACCTTAGCGGTAGTCATCTTCAGAGTCGAAAACTCATTTCGCTAGTCATCTTCAAGATGACTACTCAGCGGTAGTCATCTTCAGAGTCATTTCGACTCTGAAGATGACTACCGCTAAGGTTGTCGAAACGTCAGTCAACAACAACAAAAACAGTCCTTCACAATTGCAAGCAGTAGTGTTGGCCACACGGTTATTTCAATCCATATCATAAGAAACCAGATTACAGTTCAAACAAACAGTCTTCTTTTCGGATAGTCAGATCGTCCTTTCCTGGATCAGAAGTAATGCTAGACAGTTCAAACGTTTTGCATCAGTGCGAATTGCTGAAATCCAAACAAAATCTAATCCCACCCAATGGAGACTGGTTGCAGGTTTGCAGAATGTCGCGGATGATGTTTCAAGAGGTATATCGCCCGAACATTTGGTTGGTAGATGGAAACGTTGTCCTGATTTTTTAAGCTATCTGAAGAAGGTTGGGCAAAAGACGAAACGTCGACATCTTCACAATTGTATTCTAAAACCGATAAATCAGAACGTCGAAAAGCTTATACGATATTTCACGTGTCACAGTATGAAGACGTAATCCAGTACAACAAATTTTCTAGTTGGAAAAAGCTCATTCGTGTTACCGGTTACGTTCTAACATTCATCCATAAGGTAAAAGAAAGGGTAAAAGGAAAAATCTGGACATTGACGAGCAAGGTGAAACAGAGAATCATTGCAGTGGATTTGTTAAAAAGTTTAGAGGAAGCTGAAGTTTATCTAATAAAACTAGCTCAAAAATCGCTTTGTTATCGTGTAGAGAAGAAAGAATTCAACGCGTTATGTCCATTCACAGACGAAAAAGGTATTATAAGAGTTGGTGGAAAAATAGGTGAAGCTGTTATCTCATACGATACGAGACATCCTGTATTGTTGCCGCGAAACAATCACACATTACTGTTGATCGCTCGTTGTTATCACGAAGCGGGTTATGATGGAGTTGCATCAACCGTTGCGAAAGTTAGAGAAGATATTGGATCGTAAGAGTTCATGACCTGGCGAAGACTGTTAAGTACCGTTAAGAACAATATATGACCGAACTTCTATTACACGTCTGAAGACAAATTCACCACCATTTTACCATACATCGTGTGACTATTTTGGTCCTTATCACTTCAAGATTAGTAGAAACAAGAAGTCAAAGATTTACGTAGTTATCTTCACTTGCTTAAAACCCGAGCAGTCCACTTAGAAATGGCACTTGACTATTCTACAATGGAATTTTTACAAACGTTGAGACGATTTTTCTCCATTCGTGGGCAACCCAGTCTTCTGATAAGTGATAATGGTTCTCAATTTGTCGGTGCTGAACGGGAATTAAAGGCAATGATTGAAGGGTGAGATCAGATATGAATTAGAAGAATTCGGTGCAGATATAGGTATGACCTGGAAATTCACCACACCAACAGCACCTCATCACAACGGCTGTGTGGAGTCGTTAGTCAAAAGTGCAAAGAGAGCGCTGAAGATAGCAATCGGTGAACAAGTATTAACCGCGTTCGAGTTCTATATGTGTTTGTTGGAGTCAGCAAATTTAATGAATTCACGACCCATCGGAAGACTTCTAATGATCCCGATGATGGAGCGTAATTTGCGTCCAAAAGACATCCTTTTTGGTAGACCATCCTCATCAATACCACAGGGTCCGTTCTTAGAAACTAAAAACCCTCGACATAGAGTGGAATGTGTCCAGAAGATTATAGATAGTTTCTGGAAACGTTGATCAAGAGATGTCTTTCCGTCACTGATACCTAGAAAAAGTGGACTACGGAGAAAAGAAACGTTCGGGTACACGATGTAGTTATTGTGCAAGAAATAAATGCTGTGCGTGGAAAATGGGTCATTGGACGGATAGTGAACGTTTTTCCAGGAAAAGATTGCAGAATTCACAATGTCAAAATCAAAATGAATTTGGCAACATACGAAAGGCCTATCACGAAGATCGTGGTACTATTACTAGCAGAGGGTTACGAGGAAAATTAAAGATTACCTTTCAAAGATTTAAAAGAACACAAACTTGGTGGTGGGGGAGGGTATTTACATAGCTTTACGTAATACTACGTAACATATCCGTTTGACAGATGGATTTTAGTTGATATTATTTTTGGCGCAAAATATTGTTGTTTTTCGATGTAAATTACAAAGCTCGACACAGAAGTAAGTAAATTTAAGTGTATTTCGCTTAATGTTTGCTGTTAACTTAGGTAATCATGTTTAATTACGATTTGTGAGCTTCATGAATCTGATTGATAAAACAGGCACTTCACTAGACTATTATCTTCTGTAAGTTTATGCAAGGGTGCTATATAGCAATTACTGGAATACCTAAACGGTACTAAGTGCTGCCTTTGTGAGTGTGAAGTACATGAGAATAATTTGCTTCACAAAGGAGCCAATGGTTTAAACTTTGCAAAAACACAGGAATTGTATTTTTGTTGACTTGAGACTAAAAACCAATGAGAACAGATTTTAATATCAGTGCTTTCATTGATTTTAATATCATGCACACAGCTTCATTTCCTACAACAAATGCTCAATCTCTCTTATGTGGTCCACAATTTTTTCGCAAACTGATGAATATGTTTGTCGATAGTTACTATCACCCCAAATTTATAATGTTTTGGTTAGGAATCCATCCTCTAGCATCATGTATTAATGTGTTTTATGCAGAGAAATTATCCGTAGATTTAGCAAAGAGCACATAAAATTTTAAGAGTTTTTATTTACTAGCATGAAGAAAAAACTTTCACTTTAATGGATGACATTTGTGACGAAAGCTTTATGTTCTCACCTTTAAAACATTTTAATTTTAAAAATGTTTGAAGAAAACGTATACTAAACGTAATAAAACGAGCGAAAATGTACAACAGTAAAATTGAGCACGACTGTCTAGAAATAGGCTCATTTGCTGATTCACTTACACCCTTACCCTTTGCTTTTTTTAATTATTTACATCTATTTATTCTAACGGTTATTAATGCAGGACATGCGTCGAGCTTTTTTTTACGTCGTCAGCAGCACTCACTCTTTCATTGCGTTGCAAGTTCACGCGCGTTACAACAATAAGAATTAATCAAACAAACAAAGAACTTACAGAACGTACTTGAAGCATAGAAATGTTAACGGAAACTAACTTAGTAACGATATTTTCATTGCTATGTTTAAAAAATGCAATAACCCAGAACGACTAACTGGCTGCTCTAAGACAGTTAAGGCCGTCTGTCAACCACAATTAAAACGACACACAACTACAATGGCAACAAAAATGTAAATTACGGCAGAAACCCAACACGTACATTACCGCAACGAAACACAAACATTAAGCAGAATCAAAGCCAAAATTAAATAACAGAATGTGGTAGGTTTTTCTTACAAAACAATGTCTTAAAAGTAATAAAAAATATAAGTGTGCTTGAATTTTATTTTTTGGTGAAAGTCGAATTAAAACCCTGTTGGAAGCTTGTTATTGACTGGACTTATCAAACAGATTTTCTGTCTGCACGAGCTATCGTGACTTTGCCTTATAAAACATTGTATTATTGGTATGTGTTGTGATAAGGAAAACATCTTCCAGCATTTTAGATTGTTTTATTTTATACAGAGAAATCAGAGTTATAGATTCAACAAAGAGCACATGATTTGTTGAGTTTTTGTCTACTGGCACGAGAACAAAACTGTTCATATTCATTGATGACATTTTGATAAAAGCCATATGTTGATTATGTTTACACCTTTAGCAACATAACGGAAGTTAACACAAGCTTACCAGATTCTTTGCTAAACGACTTCAAAGTTATGTCAAACGTATTAACTTTGAAATAATTTTAGACAAACGTGATGCATCATAAAATGAGCGGAAATGTACTACAGTAAAAATAAGGCAAGAATAATATCTTACAGAAACTGTAATCCACATGCAGTAAATGCGTACGATGTACAGCAACAACGGCACCAGAACTGCCAGCCATGGTCAAAACAAAACTCGTACATTATCGTCACGAAACAGACCAGTTGAGCTGTCAAAAAATTATTAACATCATATACCGAAAGTCAAGTATCAATAACACTCTCTTCGTACCAGGAGATCGACGCAATAATGCTGTATTTAAATAAATTAAGTCGTCACACCCGTTTTATATGAAAAGCGCATTGCATGTTGGGTCCAAGCGCACTGTATGTTGGGTCCACAATTCAATCCAAAATGCATTTCGTATGCTAAAAATTTTGCCAGCTGTATGCTTTAGGTTTGCTGCCTTGCTTGCTCGCGTAATGCTCGCTCTCTGCGGCAGCAACAAGTAGCATTGTATTTTCCAATATAAACAGAATGTAACCCACATGCCTTTAATCATAATTACATGAATGTTAAAATTGGTTTATGTGTCGTGCTTACCGGTCATGATAAATATCTTTTCACATAATCAAAACTAGTTTAAATGTAATTCTGAAATAATTTAGTTTAGAAATTATAATGATCATCAGAAATGTTACCTAGTGATCGTGAAAAATACTTTGCTGTTTTACCAAATTTCAAGGTTTATCTGCATACATAGGAAGACATTTTTACTTTATAGAAAAAATCTGGTATGAGCCGTAGATCAACACACCTTGATATCTCTACATGAGGTGTTCAGTTAGAAAAGGGGACAATATGTGACATGGCACAACATTTCATGCATGTGAATTTCTCAGGTTTAATACCATTCCAGTCAAATTGTCAAAATAAAAAGCTTCATGGATCAGAAAGATTCATAATCACAGGTTATAATATACAGCTGCTCATGTAATCAATATCAGTTGTCTCAAATCTTAAACAATGTGTAGTATAACTGTCCATTAATTAAATGATCAAGGATTGCTATCGTAGCAGGTTGAATATTCTTTGTATTCAAAGGCAGTGAAATTGTTCAACGTCAGAAACACAATCAAATAGACAAAATCTATCAGCTTAATAAGCTTTTACTCCGAGCAGTTAACCCTTTAAAGCAAATGAACATGTCGTGATGAGCGAATCCGGTATGGTGTAAATCGCAGAAAGTATTTTCGTTATATGAGTGTTACGAAGTTATATATTTCTGAGTGGGTTATTATTATTGGTATACTTTTCTTTTTGTAGACTGCAATTGTTGAAGGTTTCTTGAAATCAATTGATGTTGCCGAGGCCAAAAAGAGTATGAAAATGCTAACAACGCCACAGTAAGAGATTTTCAGAACTTAATAATGATCTCGTGCACATGATATATCTATAACGGTCTTCATCATAATCGTGCATGAACAAGACCTTTTTGACAATTTCGTATTTAATAATCTGATAGTTTACGTCTTCGACCCATTCTTTTCTCATGAGCCTATGCACTTTTGAAGAAAGTTCACATCCGTTCGAGCTGCCGCATAAACTATACTGCTTTATTTAGGTTCACAGGAACAGCCCTTCTCATTTGATATCATCGTTGATAGAATTTCTATTATTTTTGTTAGAATAATTTTAATAAAGTGTTATAATTTATGCAACAGCTCAGACGATTGTGTTGCAGGTGGGGACAAGCTTTTCTTCAATATTGCCTATACCCACACGAGAAGTATGGGTTTGTAACGTTGGCTAATAATCTGATAGACTTGTCTGCCTCTAAAAGTGTAATTGGGGACTAGTTCAGCTTTACTACTTCACTATTGATGTACGCATTATGTTAAAAGTTTGCATGTTGCATTATAGAGCTAAGCAGGCGCTTGTTATTAAACTTGCTCAAGCTGTCATTGATGAAAAATGTTACGTCGAAAATATAATGAAATTACTTAAGACATGTTTGGCTGAGAAGACGTTGACGAAGGAAAATGTAGTCAAGGTGTTGTTTTTCTCTTTAATCTTGTTGCAAAACTTAATTCAATATCAATTCCTTATGTTCAAAACCAATTATTTGAAATACTTCGTGTTTCCTTATACAGGATGTTAAAACAGCTGAACAGTTAGGAGACATCAGCGCGTAAGATTTGCAAAAAACTTTGGTGGAAATAGCTGGACTTCCAACTGCTCATCTGACAGTAAAATTTTTGCAGCTAATAACCATTTTTAAGATCAAAATTGTTTCACCGAGAAGCACTTTTAAAATAGCTTGCTCACTAAAATTACACAGGTAAAGGCAATTGAAACACGTAGAATTAAAATATGGCACACGTTAATGTTCAAGCTTACGAAATTGCTGGAAATTTGGCCACAGCGTACGCAAACGCAGTAGGAATCCAAGTTAATAATTATTTTGCGTTTTTCCTTTTGAAATGCCTCAAGTATTCTTATTAGCATAAATCTTACATTTGAGCATAATAAAAACCAAAAATCGAAAATAACCCGCAATTTGAAAGCTGAGCTCGTAAACATTAGCCAAACTTCATAAAACTTTGTCAACTTGAACAAAATGTGCCACAAGTTAACCCTATGTGTTCCATAAGCTTTTTAGCTGTGTCCTTTTCGTCCGCAAAGTATTTTAAAAGTCCTCCTCGCTAACAAAATTCTCGCCCTAAAAATGTATATTATATGAGAAAATATTAACTGTCACTTGAACCATTGGAAGCACAACTATTTGCAAATTTTACACGCTGCTGTCTTACGCGACGTTCTCCTTAATGTTCAGTTTTTTAACACCCTGTATAATGATAAACTTCATGTGAAACAACTACTTGCCGAATTCAGGATTTCCATAAGCAGAAATAAAATTTACACTGGGTGTATGTATTATGTTTATAATCCTGGTGTCACAACTCAGTTTTCATTTTTATGTATGTATACGGTATTTAAAATGGTTTTAATCGGTCTTTGTATATATATTTTGATTCATCCTAGAGAAGGAGATCAACTGTAGAGTTTTGTCCTTAGCTACGTAATTATTCAAGAAAAAAAAGGGCGGGAAAGTGCTTTTACTTGTTTATTTTTCCTGTCGGGAATCATTAGCCCAACACAGAAAATCACTCGCTCGCACGCTCAGCTGTCATAGCTTCTACGTCAGGCAGATTATGGGGGGTTTGAATCTACCAGTGAATGTGTACTTAGCATAGCAAAAGTTTTTAGTTTTATTCTGAGTCATTCATTTCTTGTTTCTTGATTCTGTGCTTCAAAGCGTGAAATCCTAAGCCCGACATTTACACGAATGCTGAAGAGCTTTGTGAGTCTCTTCATTTTGGACGACTGGTTGTTGTTAATGGATTTCATAACAAAACATATCAAAACATAACATTAACTCTGGACGTATAGTTGTGTGATAATACATGCGGTATTTGCACAAACAAGTAATACCTTGTTTTAATGACCTTTCCTCCTATTTCAGGGTCTTCAATCATGGTGTCAAAAGCTGCCCAAGTCTGATAAAGATTTAAAAAATATAAAAACCTTCCTAGGAAAATTTACGGCTCAACTTGTTTCGGAGGTATATAAAGTATATCTGCAATAAACGTCGTCGTCATTGACAAGACATCTTTAAGTTTTTAGCGGCCTGTTTATATGATCCAGATTGACGATACATGTCGCCTATCGATGTATGATTTTGCTTTTTAGAAAGTATATTATTAATATTTACGTCATGTTCGTTCGTATAAGAAAGTGGGCTCTCCCGGTTACCGAAATCTCGGCTGTAGGAGGCGAGATCATTTGTAGGCGGATGAAAAAGTTTCCGTATGCTAACATCGCTAACCCGCTTTCTGGGATGAATAAATGATGTTTGTAACGTGGCGACAAAAATATAGTGGAAAGGGAAGTCGAAACAAAAGGAAATAAATACGCTTGGATAAGAGCGTGCTTTAAGATTAATTGATTGCAGTTGAATACAAAATTAGCATTGTAAAAACACAAACTTTCATCTAGATAACCCATACAATGCGAATAATTGCGATCAATGAATGCGCCATGTTGATTTGCAGTTTGTTGCATTTTGCAAATTTTTTGTTGTCTTTTTTTTTGTTTCGGCAGGCTGAAATGAATTTAACTTATCAATTTTTGTTCTAGGAACTATTTTCCAACCAGACAAAAACAATAAATTAGAAATGATCGATTAATTCTTTAGAACAAATTTCTGCTACTTTTCTGTTGCTTCAAAGTACCGCTTCAAAACTATATTCTGTCGTCCTTATAGTATGTTTTCCATGAAATAATGTTATTGTTGGTTTTTCAGAACATAGTTGATCTTTCAACCACAAGTAAAATCCTCGAATCTATTGACCTCATGTTCTTGCAGTGTTTGAAAGATCTAAAGTCATTAAGAGGAGAGGTAAAACGCAACATATTTATTGTATTTTTTCTTGCGTACATACATTTAGTCGGTTTTCACGCCGCTATCAACACGCCAAAGTTTTTCTTCAGGGCCTTTTTCGTTTTCAAATACACACAGCATCTTCGGTTGCATGGAATAATTTATTTTGTTGGGCAATGTATTTTATAAAATGTTCACGGCGAAGATCAAACTACTTGTGTTTGATATCTCAGCAGTAGATATGGATGAATAGAACAGAGTTTAATGTTTTAGAAATGCTTTATTTCTATACCTACTCACTTTAATCGAACAAAAAATTATGTCCAATTAAGCCCTTAACAAGCGAGCGCGAGGTCTATACCGAGAAATATCGGAAACTATACTATTTCTTAATAATAATATACTTTGAGATATTTTTTCTTAACTGTACCGTCTAACTCTGTCTTGCTTCGTTACTTTTTGTCGCTTTAGAAAAGCCTCGTTACGCGGCGTAACTGTTAAAAATATTCACTCAAAAAACAGTACTTGCTCTTTTGTTTTTATTCTTTGCATTATTTTATAATTCTTAAATTTCAAATGACTGCAATTGTGGAAATCTTTATTTTACTTACAACTGCCGCTATAAAGTTTTTTCATGAATTGAAAAAAGCTTGTTTGGCTTTGACTGCTTTTCAGCCATCAGGTTACAATCTTTACAGTGCAATTTACAGCTTTTCAACCTTGCAATTGCACATTTTCCCCGCGTAATTACGGATAAACTGCAGTGCAATCAACCAATTGCAGATGAGAAATATCTCAAGGTATATTATTAGACCTGAAACAAAGCTTTCGTTTTTCGTCCTCGCTGTTAAGTTTTGGTTGGCTTCCACTTTTCTTGTTTTCTCCGGAAGTGACGTATGTCTTATAATAATAGTCAATAATGAATTTTTAGGATTGGTTACTTGAGAATTTCAACTTCAGTCAAGTGAATTTGTCATCAACATTGCCGGGTATGTTTTTGGTTTTGCCTTTATAACTACAAATGAATGTTCAGTGAGGCGGGTATCGAACCTGAGACCTTGCGATCACTTGTCGAACGCTCTAAGACTGAGCTATCCCGCCCCTACACTTAAGACGGCTAATAGTATCAGCTTTAAATAGAATATTATTGATAATGATGCTTTTAAGACGGCCATTACAAAAAGGAAATAGAGAAAACAGTTTTGGGTAAGGCAAATCTATTTAGATGCAAAAACTAAAGGCGGATATCACACTTAAGTACCTGAGGTAATGTTATTGGACCATGAGCTTTTTTCAAATGTTTCGAGTGAAACCAAGTACATTTGAAGAGCTACTTGGTTTAGTTGCCCCAAGCATCACACGCAGGAAAGCACGACGAAAGGCTGACAGTAATGCTGAGGTACCTGGTCACTGATGATGCTGATATAACTCTAGCAGCAAGCTTTTGTTCAAGTGCCACAACTGTTAGCGATTGGTTGATATTCATCACGTTCTCCATGGTTCGTGCAAAATCGCCTAGAAAGTTGAAAATTTTCAACTTTCAAAGCGTGTGCGCTATTGTCCACGGTGTCCGAGAGAAAATGACGTAGTTTATAGCGCATGCTCAAACGTGTACGTTCCGCGCGCGCGGTCAAAGCGACCGTAATGGAAATCGGCCTTTATGAAACACGTTGTGGCGGATATCGTTTGGTTGTACGAGAACGACTTAAGAAAAGCACGTTCCTTTTTTTTGTAATTTGTAATTATGTATTCTTAATCAACGCATTTTTCAGACGACTTCAAGGGTGAAGAAAATATGATCAAAATTTTACGTGAAAAGGTATGGCAAATATTGACATTTGATTTTCAGTTGTATTATGGTATATTTGTAATATACCTTGATATATTTCTCCATTGTGATTCGTCGATTGCTGTGCAGACTATATCCGTGATTGCACTGTGAAAATGTACAGTTGCACTGTTTGAAAGTTGTAATTGCACTGTAAATACTGTGACCTGACTGGCTTAAAAGCAGAGAAAGCCAAACAAACTTCTTTCCAATTCAAAAAAAACATGGCTACAGCTGTAACTTAACAAAGTTTTTCAAACTTAACAAACGACTTCCACTAGTGCAATCGTTTGAAATACAAGAGTGAAAATTGAATGCAAAGAATAGAAACAAAACAGCAAGTTCCCCTCTTTAAAAAACTAACTCGTTCACGCTTATCCGTAATTGCACTCGAAACTATACTATTACCGACTAATACTTTAATAAATTTAACTTTATACTTTAGGGGTTGATATTCCTCTCTCCTAAACTTAAAGCCCGTGTTGAATTATTTGAACAAATGCAGCGTGATGCTAATGATGCTTACTTGTTTTTGTGGATAAAGGTGAGCTATATATTACTGGTGAGTGATAATTCACATGAGCGCGAATTTCCGTGTCACCGTTCAATTTTTCTTTTTTTATGTTGCATTGATCATTACCCTTATGAATTTAGGGCATGAAACAAACAAAAATGTAGCTACCAATCAAAAGTTTGGTTTAGAAAATCGAGGTATATTGGAAAGGGTGGAAAATTATATCATCCATTTGTGAGCGAATTTTTCTTTCATATAACAAAAGTTTTTGCAGTTTTTCCCTCGTACGTATATTACGAAAACGGTCTAAGAAAATCGTTTTCATTTTGAGTAATGAAAAATAAGAAGGCTTTGTCGGTAATGCACGAGTTGAAATGTTGATAGCTACGTAAAGTGCTTATGCAGTTTACGGATATCACTTTTCATTCTCAACATATTAACGTTCTTGTTTTGTTTAAATGTCCATGTTTTGTACAACCACTGACCTACTATTGCATTATAAGAATTTGAATTATCCATTATATTTAATGATATTATGCTTCATCCGGGCAAAGATTCCCTCTTTGGATAGTGTTGAGGATGTAAAATACTGCTTAAGAATTTCCTACAAAGTTTCCCGCAACTGAAAGATTTTGAAAAGTTTCCTGCCTTTCATTATTAAATAGACGTCACTGGTTGTAAATAACCGGACATCACCAAAACATCAATATCTTGGAAATGAAAAGAGGTATTCATAAACTGTTTTAAGAAGGCCTCTATCATTCATATGTTCTATTAAATAAAATGAAAATGAAAAAAGAAAATTTGCTGTTCATATAAACACTGAAATTTACAACATAGTCGACATTACGCAGCTGCCATTTGGCGTAGGATTCTTGCAAAATAACATGGCAGGATTGTGAATGTAACTTTTTTCTTGATTAGTTGTTATTTATAAGTTACTCGTGGTATAATTAGTCAAGGTCATACAGTAAACCACACACTTAGTATTAATGTTTGAATTACTTTGTACATACCTTTGAATCATATGATTGGCACTGTTGTTCGAGAAATCTTAATTTGTGCAATGCGCTCTCCTACCTAATACGTGCAACTCTTAACTAATGTTTGCTTGTTTTATTTCTTTTCAGGAAAATTTGGAAAATTGGCTTTCAAGTGCTGAAGTTGCTAGTGTTTTGACCACATGGTACGTGTTTTACATAATATTTACTTGTAAATATATGTTTTCACTTTTTTATTTATTTATTTGACGCGAAATGAACTTGGTACAAATCGTCAAGTGTTTCTCTTTTCTAGTGTGCTTAAGTATGTTACCATGGCTACGAGCTTATCTCTGGATGTCAATTGCAGTCAACCGCTGGACAAAGTAGTCCAGGAAGAAGAAAAAGCAATGATGGAAAGTATGAAAGTAAGCAAGAAGCAGGTTATGCTTTGAGTGCTTACTTTCTCTTGATTTTGAAACAGAACGACTTTTGCATCACAGGCGCAAAACTTATACTTACGATTGACAAAACTAAAATTCATATTTCTTGTTCACTGTTGATCCACGATGCGCGCGTGCGAGTGGCAGTATAGCCAGCCCCTGTTACATAAAATTACAAGCATTTTTATCATAATTAATTTGTTTAGAAATCTATTGTTTTCACAATAAGTGAACACAGAAAAATTTTACATAACAGGACAAATTTTCGGGCTGGCTACGTCCTTACGCGTGGGCCGTGTAAACACTTTTTTGTCACTATCTTGTTAATATGATTATAAGAGCTTCGTACAACCAGCCCTCTGTAAGCGTAACAAGATGTCCTTTGTAAAGCTGTTTTTTCTTCCATTTATGGATTTTTCGACTACTTATCCCTTGCATGCACCGCCATCACAATTCTTCAAAAACATCCGAGTGAAACAAGGTTGTTCTTGACTGCGCTTATTTGTCTCTAAGAAAGCAAAGAGCCGGGCCATCTAACTTTTTGTGTTTTCACTCCTTTATTCCTGATTCATTTTATTGACAACATTATATACTTTTATGAATTTTCTTGCTTTAGCCTTTAATGCAGAAGTTTCTCAATGACAACATCAAACTTCAGGTATCATTATCTACGTAGATTGTTCTTTGTTTCTTTTTTTTATTTTACTCCGTAGTTGTCAGGCAGTTGGTTTTGTTGACGTTGCTAGAGTTTTTACCATTATTTCTTGTTCCATGTTAATTAAGATGATTTTTTTTCAATAATTGTTTACGCTGTTATATCATTGCACAATATACATCTGGTGTTGTGTATGTATACTATGTTGTTAATAACACATGCGTCTTCTTTACGACCTACTATGAAATAACAACAATAAACGCGTTTTGAACTCAATCAATGAAATCGATTAAAGAGAATTTGTAAAAAAATCATTGAATACATATTAAAGAAAAATTGAAACGTTTGTTTTAAATTCATCTGTTTCTCATTATTGTTATTTCATGAAAGAGAAATAAAAGATGCTTCTCTTGTTTGCACTGGCTTATGCAAACTTTGGAGACGATTGTGAGAACTCACTAGTTCCTCCAAAGGTTGCAAACGATTACATTTCTTAATTGCCCCATTCTCTCCAAAAAACGTTCATGATCTTGTTTACTGCATGCATCCAAGGATATATATTAGTTTAGTTTATATGCAAGTATTATACTCCAGCCGTATCACATAGGCGAGAGTTGTGCTGTTACAAGGAAAATCCATATTTTCATTTCATGCGAACAGCAATTTTTCTTTTTTTATCGACAAAATCTGATTTATAAAGAATTTTTCTTCTTGTTTATGTGCTTCGGATACTTTTTGTCATTATAGATCAACGCTCTGTATGCCTTGCAAGTTTTCTGCCACGACAATAATTTTCCAAAAGGTAAGAATTGAATGCTAATTCCACCCACGTTTTACAAGAATTTTCACAGTCTAACCCTGAAAAACTTTTTTTGTGAGATAATAGATATCAACCTAAAACGTGTACAGGTTATTCAGTGAATTTAATTTATTTCATCTTTGTATAGTTTTGAATTTAGCCCACTCATAGAATGCGCATGTTCAGCAACAATTGATCCCCAAACAGACGTAAACACAATTAAATACAACAATAACTGTTTTGCAGCTACTGCACGTTGCAACTTCCCTGGGGCCGGTTGTACGAAAGGCGTTTAAGTCGTTAACCACCGTTTATATGTCCCTCCACCGTATAAATTTTAAACGCTTGAAAAATTGCGTTGTACGAAGCCCGTTTAACTCAATCCACCGGTTAAATTTTGCCTATCCACCGAGTAAATTTTATCCGTCGCTAAATGACGGATAAAGCGTTGTTGTCTTGTAGTTTTTTTTCTCATATGGCTTTCAGATTACATGTCATTCATTTCTGCGCTCTCCCAAAAATAAATAGACCGGCGGATAAAATTTGTAGACGTGAAATACGATGTGAAATAGACGACCGACGTTTCAGCGTACTACAGTGACAACGAGTAACGAGTTACATATGAACGCTATCGCTTCAGTCAAAAAACTACTAGTTCTACATAACACATCTTGTAAAAACCATGTCCATCCGACAAAAGTAGAGTAAAAAAATAATTTATCGGGCTCTTGCAAGACTTGTATGAAACTTTGAATCGTATTCTTTATTTAATATGTAGATATAATGTTTTTTCTGGAGTTTCTTTACACCATGTCGTATCAAAACGAAGAAAGTCCACTAAATCGCAGTCAGCAAGCGTCTGGGACAAAATAAGCCTTCATAACGCTACAATTTTTTGCATCCAAAAGCTTTCGGATGATTATTAAATATACTAAAAGTATATTTCTCGAGTTTTCCCACCTAGTTGCCTAGTGATTAGATAGCAAAAACCGTTTTTTCTTGTTTTCAAGAACTGTAAACACGTATTTAATTTAAAGCGTTCGGACCTTGCTGTATATTCTTCTATATAAACAACAGAATGGTTAGCTATCACTTCACGTTATACCATTAAGAGTAATGGTAAAGCCTTTGTTTTTTACAGTGACAAGTCAAAGTTTCACGTAATTATTGAGTATGATTCTCCTATTTGTTATCAACTTAATATACGTTTTCAACTCAGGAATTTTTACTGAGGCATCTTTATTCATGCATGTCATAAATAAACAACGAAAAAACAAGGCGATTTGCGATATCTACATTGTCATTACAGGGTAACCGCATGTCAGTTTTTGTTTCTCCGAAAAGTTTGAAATTTTAATTGGCATAATGACGTTTCCATATTCTTTTAAATTTAATGAAATCAGGGCAAAGTGGTCAATAACTATATTTTCGTCTGACAATGTGGGGAAAACTCCAGAATTTTATTTACTTGCCTCAGTCTCATTTCTTGCACATCATCAAATCAAACTTATCTTTATTGATACTAGGGTTATACTGTCGAATGATAATATCTTATCACAGCTTCACATGCGATTGTGTAAACTTTTATGCATTTGTGTCCAGGTATGCTGTTACGAATGTTTATGATGCTCTACGACCTGGAGATCATTGAAGAAGATGCATTTATATCTTGGAAGGAGGACGTCAGTGACCAGCATGCTGGCAAGGGAAAAGCTCTCTTTCAGGTGAAATAACTTTTATACTTGTCGCCCTTTCAATATTTTTGTCATTGAATACAGGGAACTGTGAAATGTCTTTTCTCTCTGTATTGCTGTCACTTGATCAAACATAAGCTCCACATTAAAAATCTGTTTACATTGGACAGTTGTCTGTCACGCAGTGTTTTGTTTCTCTTTGAACTCTGTGCAATTTCTTGAACAACAATGAGACTTAGTATTCTTTTATTTGTAAGAAGATTGTTTAAAATACTATTTTGACCTTCCTGGCAATCTCTTTCTCTTAGCTCACATGTAGATATTGAAAGAAAATAAGATCTGGAAAACGTTCATATATCTGTGAGACAAAAAGATCTGTAAAAAAACCGTGAAATACTTGAAAAATGTAAAATGATGATTTTTCTCAAAACAAAGACTTGTTGAGAAGCTCTCTATCAGTGCGTTGATGAATCTTTAAATGTACTGCCTGTTAATTTTTAGGTGAACGCATGGCTTACTTGGTTAGAAACCGCTGCTGAAGAAAGTACGGATTCGGAACCCGAATAATCGCCTATGCTAATCAAATCATACACAATACTTTTTAATTTCAATTATGACTCTCAATTTTCTTAATATCATTTGACTTAATGAATTTCAATAAAGTAAATAATAGATCTGGCAACTTAATAAATCATGAAATTATAGCAAGTTATGGTTATAATTTTTTGTAACTTTTTTGTTTGGTTATAGATTCTAACAGGTCTATGTGTTGAAGTATACATTAATTAAAAGTGACCATGTTAGATTCGTAAGCACAAAAGAATTTAGATGATGCTTTTAAATACTGACATATTTTCACCTTACAACTCTTCAGAAAAGAAAGCATCAGTATTTGAATGGTTGTTACGATAGTATATACGTATGAGCAGAGTTGTCATAATTCTGCCTTTCACTTATTTAAGCAATTAAAGAAGATGTGGAAAAGTACTACAAATCAATTTAGTCAAGAATATCATCTTTCTTGTTAAGCGCGTTCAAAATTCTTACGAGATATGATTCTTAGATAGCCTGATCTGAACACGGGCATTGACCAATCAGTGCAATTGTTTTTCCTAAGTTACTTTATAAAGTGAGTTTTTTAACTACATGTCTGTCGCCTAGGCTACAAGTTTAAACTAACTGTACTACTTAAAGTATTGTGGAAGAATAAATTTTCAGCTATGCATTGAAGAAATTGGTATTTTTCGGTATATCCTTTTGAGATTCCTACATGCAGATGCGTCCTTGCCTACATGGGAGAGGTGCCAAAGGATTTCCATGGGATGCCAAAGTTTATCCAAGGATATTGTTAAACTGTGAATTCACTGAAAGAGAAAGTGTGCTGGGAGGGTTGTATCTGCATGATGCCAAGTGCAACAGATGGAAATAAGTATGATGACGATAAACAAGCTGAAAATAAAATGATAAAAAAGAAGATGAGAGGGATTTGATCTTAGATTATCAAGGAAAAAGCTTAAAGAGAAAGAGCAGCTAATGAAGGATGACAGTGTAAATGATCACTATGAGAGTGTGATTATTTTCACGAAGTCGTTTGAGAATATGTGCAAAATTCTTGGTTTTGTTCTGTTGAATGATTTCATCAAGCTTAAACATTGCAAAATATTTTCTTCGTTCATTTGGGCAAAGAATATCTTAAAAACATTGTTTAAATTTAATTGAAGTGGAGAACTTTTGTATTGTAATTTTCGCTTTAGTTTAGTTTGAATAGCACCTTATATCTATCAGATAATCAGTGCTGTTAACATTTGCTGAGATACTACCACATACAAGGTATTTTGAGTTGAGCACCTCAAATTATTTAATGTTGTATATTAAAGTCTTCAAACACAACGATGAACTCTTATTAACATTAATGTTTACATGCTTAGTTTTGGATTGTGATAACTTGGGAGCGTATGGTCGGTCGTTTCCTAATGAACATAATCATTATTTGCATTTATTTTAGGTAAAAATAAACAATATTTCTTTATGCAAGAATGTTATATGCAGTGCGGTGTTTGAAATTAAATGTAGATATGATCTTCGCACTTTGCGGAGATCACGTTGAGTCACCTGAATTTTTCGGGTTCTTGAGACAATTGCTTAAATTGTCCAGTAAAGTGCGAAAATGATATCTACATTTAATGTTTCTTTATGTTAGGTAGACGATGAGTATACATAACAATAAAAAAGTTCTGACAAGACCAAAGCAGGTTTATAGTGCAGTAGCGAAGTAAAACATGATTTTGACATATGCTCATAAGGAAACCAAGGAAAATACCGTCTTTAATTCACTCTTCGTTCAAACTTTGATCTTATAGTAAAAAATAGACAATTATGTTTTATTTCTAAAATTTTCTAGAGCTACTACATTTACAAATTGAAATGAAGAGATCTGTTTCCAAAACCCTTTTAATTTACAATAATTGACGTCATCAAAGTGAAAGTAAAAATGAACAGCATATTCTGGGAAGAGTAATTCCAGGAACGAAGTGGTGATGCAGCCAATTGATTCTGGGAAAAGTGATTCCAGGAAGGAAGTGGCAGTGGACCACCTGCAGTTTTGTTTATGAAAATGTGTGCTTTGAATGCTAAAACGTTGATAACAATATGGCTGAGTACAATTTATTGGAGAAAAATATACGAACGATACATTTGCTGTGACATTTGATGTCTATACTCCAAGACCTCATTATATAATTTTACCTCAGAAGAAGGAAACTGTCCATCCAGAATTTAGTCTTATAACAGATGAGCAGACGCAGAAAGTAATCAAAACGGCAAAATCTGCTTTGGAATGTTTTAATATAAATGGTGGAGTTCTATCCATACACCGCGGATCGTGGAGAACTACAAGAGATAAATTTCATGCTCACGTTTGCGTAGACGTCGATAGTTATTTACGAGTATATGAAAGTAGAAAGAAACTCATTCCTAACTGGCCAAGTCGTGAGTATGTTACCAAACAATGGAGACACAGCAAAAATCCACGTTCTTACGCAGATAATGTGCGAGGATATCCTTATCGAAGCTATTTGGATGATGAAGTGGCTAGCATTCGAACAATTAGAAAACGACCAACTCGCAAGGAAAACATCGCCGAAAACGCCGAACTTGACGAGACGTTTTCATCTGAGGACTGTGCTAAAAAGATAGTGTACCACTCAAGACATCCAAAGATTGGTTTTGTATGCAAAAAGCTAACGTCCATTGAAGATCATCAGAATCTGCTGTCGGCAATGGAAAAGTTTGCCCAAGGTCGCAATTTGACCAGTTCAAATTCTAAGGACGAAAATGAAGGTTGTCACATTTGCTTGTACTTTGGATCAGGTATGTAAAAGTCAAATTTCCTTAAGTAAAATATATTGCCGTTGTTTTTTGTCATAGCTAGAGTTGATATTTGTTTTAAGGAGTAAATATCTCACACCTTTCTCTTCAGCTGAAAGTGATGAATGGAATTTTAGCGGAGAAGATGACGAAAATGTCCGAGGACACATTGTTACTACGGGATTTCGTTTTTATCAACAGTGTCCATCAAACAGTCGGGACGATTGGTTTCACGCTTTTAGGCAATCTGGTTTTAAGTGTACGACTTAAAACATGGAGAAAATAATAAGAACAAAGATACTAGCATTTCTATTCACATAGATGCATTGGCCAAGTATAGTAGATGTGGAATAAATACATTTAAGCTGCAATAAGACATTTACTTAAGCTATTATTATACATACCATTAGTCTTAAACTGTCAATAAATTTTATTTAGTGCAAAATGAAGCAACACAGATGACTCAGCTGTCTGGGAAAATAATTAGAACCAAAATTGTACACATTAGTGATGTTTTTCATAATTAAATGATCTGTGTAAAGCAACTTCAACTGTCAAGATGGGAACATCTCGTTCTGAATTCGATAAAATAATAATGTGTCAAAACGAAAGTAAAAGTAACCTCTTCCTACTAACTATTATAAATGCCACCTGCTGCTAGCTGTGTTTGTTGGAGAAAATATCGCGTACAAATCATTCCGATCTTCTCATGGCTGACTACAATGTATTGGAAGGTTCTTTCAACAATTCATTATTTGACGCGAAGTTTGATCTTTATACCCCAAGACCTCATTTTATTTTGTTGACTAAAGAAAGCGAGATTGAGTTCGTCAATCCTAATTTTAGTAGCACTACAAATGAACAAAAACAAGAGCTCATCAAATCGGTAAAATCTGTAATGGAGTTATTCAAAATAGATGGTGGCATTTTATCAATACATCTTGGAGCATGGAGAAGCCAAAAAGAAAAACTTCACGTTCATTTTTGCGTAAATGTTGATAGTTATTTAAAGGCGTTTAACAGTCAAAAATATAAAATTCCTAAATGGCCAAATAAGCAATTTGTGACAAAGGAATGGATATTTGATAAATGCCCGCACAAGTACGCGGATAATGTTCGCCACTATCCTTATCGAAGTTATTTAAAAAAAGAATTACAGGACATTAAAAACGGTAAATGTCCTGAGACAAAATTTCAGCCGAGAAGATACCTCTTGAAGGCGGCATAAGCCGAATTGTCTTTCATCACAGCCATCCAAAGATTGGTTTTGTAGGGGCTAAATCTAAGTATGCTGAAAATTTGCAACGTTACCTTTCGGCAATGGAAAAATTTGCTGAAGAGCTAAGCTTGACCGATGTAAATGGATGTCATGTTTGTCTGTACCTGGATACTGGTACGTACATAGCTTCGTTTTATCGACTTTCGAAATAACTTAAGTAGCTATATGTACATGCAGAGATATTTGTAAATGCAGCTTGAGTTTTTTTAAGTCTCCCTAACCGATCATGTTTTGTACATCATGCAAGGCCACTGCAAATTTTCATACAACTAACGCCTTTCTTAAGTTTTAATTAAACTCTAAATGCAGCTTGCATTTGACGAAAGTTGTTTTATTAGTATCACAAGCAAAGTAAAATGATCTCTTGCCATTTCCATATTTTTGGTCTTGGAACATATGAAGAATATAAAATGATATACAAAATATAATGGGTTAAATTTCATGAAACATAGCTAAGGAGAAAAAATGATAATTTTGTTTTTAAGAAAGATCAATTGATGAAACAACTTTGCAATGTATGAGAAACTACAAAAATAAAAGAATCCTTGCTACAGTCTTCAACAAATCTAAGTTTTATTTTCAGAACGTACAATAAACGATATTGAAAAAGTGTGAAAACTTAAGCAAGCAATTGCCTCTTCTAGATTGAAGTTTTTTGAATTTTGCAACTCATTTTTACTTAAAACCTCATTAAAACTCCAAACAAACAAGGTACAATTGCCAACTTTTATACGTTATTTATTGCATATAACGTATTGACATATTATGTGCCTAATACAGTTTATTGTTCCTTCTCTTAATCGTCGAATAGACAATATTGAAATTCAACACAAATTTTGCTAGAGGTATTTTACTCAAGAATATAACATTTTATTTCCTGTTTTTTGAAATGAAAGAACCGCTGTCACATTGAAATGAAATATTGGCATGAACGTACGTTTTATCTGTTCCAAAAAAATGATCACTGAGAGTGTTTATTCGTTTTTATTCGCCTCTAAGTTTAATTTGTTTGCTTTTTGAGTATTTAAACTCCAGCCCAAGCCTCTCACATCACACATTTTATATGAATTTTTAAGCCCGTAATTATGGCCATGTTCGATGGAAGAACTCAAAACAAGATAACCATGACATTGCATATAACTGTGGGCCATATGAATGTACATAGTACATTCATCTACAGTCTATACATCTATGTTAATGTGCAGTTTATGATGAACATGGCTCAGCAAGTTAGAATCTTTTACTGCCAATTTATTATCTGCATGCAAACTTTGTTTCAAGTAAGAGTAGTGGCTATTTTACTTTGTCTTTTCCTTCTACTTAGAAAGGTCTGAAAGAATAGATGAAATCATCGTGTAGCGTCTATCTACAATTGCACATTGACTTCTATTTTGAATAGACATGTGAAAGTCATTAATTTGTTATTTTGTGAGATTCTCATAAAAAGGACTTAATTCAAACTTTAAGAGTATACAGAATCCTTAAAAGCATAGCAATATGTCGCAACTTTGGTTCTGCTTTGCAATTTCTTGTTCACTCACAGCAAAAACAATTGATTTTTAACAAAATATTGACAAAGATAATGCTCTAAAATTTACGCAGCCTGTCTAAGCTTGCAAAAGCTGGCTTTGCTGCTAAGTTTTTTACGTTTTGACTTAAAAGTTATGTTTATACATATTTTGCCTTAATTGTTTTTACTAAGTAGAGAAACTAAGTAAAAAATACCATGAATGTTACGTCGATAAACTCGTCGACATTAATTAAACAGCAAAATTTAAGTGAGTTAACTTGAAAAGCCCTAAAGAAAAGAATAGTTTTTTATTGAAAAGATTGCAATTTATCAATAACTGTCATGCATGTGTATAGCAGACAAATAAGATGAGGTTTACATGTTTTGATTAGGTTTGCATACATCAATGAAAACTTCAATTAAATGGAAATTTTTCAGTTATATCCTTTTTTCTCTCTAAAAGTTCCAAATGATACCTGGAATTTTACCAAAAATGGTGAAGAAGACATTGTAGGGCACATTGTTATGGCTGGCCCTCGCTATTACAAGCTATGTCCTGTGGAAATTCGAGAGGAATGGTTAAGGGCTTACAAACATTCTGACTTTAAATGTTTGACCTGAGTAAATTAATAATAGTAATTTTATAAATTTCTGAGTTAAAAGACAATGCATAAATTTCAAGAAGAAGAAAATTTGCGAAATGGTTTAATTTCTCGGCATTTTATCGTGAAATTAAACGCGTTAGTTTTACTTCATGTTAATAACTTTGTTATTCATGTAAAATAACTACTTCATTAAAGTTATGTTTTATTATTTCAAGTTTTCTAAATCAAAGTTATGAAAAAGTAATAAATAATGACCGCTGTGTCGACGTCTTATAGTTAAAATCCTTACCGTAATATCAAATGAGTGCTTTGTATTAGTTAAAGTTCTTCATTAAATAAAAATTTTTGATCAACCTTTAAACTTAAAGATGTTTCAAAACCATTACTGCCGCCAAGGATGTCGAAAAGTCAGTCAAAAAGCTGCAACATAAACTTCACGTCTCAGGTCTACTAAGGGCCTGTTCATATGAGCCCGGTTAGCGAGACATCTAACCTACCTATGATCTTCCTTTGCAATACATTTACTATTAATATTTACGTCGTGTTCATATGAAAAAGCGGGCTGGCACGGTTGCCAAGATCTCGGCTGTAGGAGACTAAAGGATAGGTAGGTGGGATGAAAATTTTCCATATGAACTTGCTAGCCCGTTTACCAAGATAAAATTATTAAATTAAAAACATGTCAACCAATGGAGTGGAGCCGGGATTTAAAACATTGATTATCTTTTTCCCCCTATTGCCGAGTTCGTTTCTAAGAGAAAAGATTTGTTTCTCTGCACCACATATTTCGCATGTTTTCTATGTGGTGGAAATTGCAGCAATTTATACCCACGGCAAGTTGTCGTGCTCGAGAGCGACTGAAGATTGATAACTAGGGGAAGGGGGCGCATTCATTTATTCATAGTGTATAATTTATGGTCCCAGTTGATATAAAAAAAACTAGCTAAATTAGTAGAAAATGCATATATGAATAATACACCCAAATTATCGATTGTCTGCTCACTTAGTCTTGATATGTAAACATTTCTGGGCTTAAAGAAAAAACAGATTTTAAAACAAATGATAATGATCTAAACTCTTTGTTTGTCTAAATTGAAGAACAACTCAATTCAAATTTGAGCTAAACTATTTCTAAGCAAATGCAGTAATTGACCAAAAAGTTTTATTTGTTCAAATGCAGAACAAGTCAATTCCAATTTGGGTTGAAAAACGATTCATGTATTAATGCATATTGGGTATGTTAAGGGCAGAAGGACATTTGTGGCCATGATAAGTATGCTTATTTTTGAAATGTGGTTTGTGAAGTTTGTGATTATTAAACAATGAAGTTTAATAATCAAATGAATTTGAAAAACCTAACAAAAGAAATAGTTCTTGCATTGCAGACTAGTATATGACGAGCTTTACCTAAGGATTGGATGTTTTGATAAAGTTTATCCCCACCTCCGCCAAATTATTTCCTGTCCGTCGCCCTTGGTCCTCGCCTTGCTCTGTGTTTTGTAAACATTTCGAAACTTACTCCAAACAAAACAGCGGAATTAATGTAAAAATTGTATTTCACCACCAAATGATGGCAATCCTATCAATGATGTTCTATAAAGAACATGTAAGTCATTCAATTTGTGAAATAAACAATAATTTTAATTTTTGCTTGGTTTTCATATTGGCATGAACCATCTTAGCTTTAGAAGCTACTAGACTGGAGAGAACATTACAACTGAATAGAGGATTTGGCTTTTAGGCATACAAAACAACCTGTCCTTCAAAGGGAAGGGAGAGCTATTGGGTACGACTTTTTTATTCCATCAGAGGATAAATCATTGGATAAAATTTAGTAAACTTTAAAAAACAAACAAAATATGTTACAATTTTCTGTTTTGCCTTATTTAAGTGTTTCTTCTTTCTTCAGTTTCTTCTGGTTTCTCCAAAATTTCCCATTTTCTTATTCTACATTATTTATTTTTAATAAAATTTCGCATAAATGAAAGCAATACAAAATGTAAACAACATGGCAATTGATAGAAATTATTCCATCTTAACTTGTGGCGTAAAGCAAACTGATAACTTTATGAGTCAATAAGAACAATCATTGAGACCTTAATATTTCGTGCGTATAACAAGGGTTAGAAGTCCCTCGACAGTCACTTTTTTAATTCACTTTAAATTTTCTTTGTATTTGCTTGGCTTAAAGCGCGAGTTACTAAAGATCTCGCTTGTTTCTCGTTCAAACTGTAATTGGAAAAATCGTCATCCGTTTTTGCATCCATCAACGTGTTTTGTAGTTCATTTACATTCGACAAAGAGTGGCCATGCGTATTTTCAGTATTCTTCGTTACGCCAGCACCTTTTTCTGCGAGTGGAGCTTCTACCTCCTTCGAATTTTCATTGTTTGTTACAACATTGTAGATTCTATTACTCAGTTTTGTTCCGACAGAATTTGCACTATCACCTAAGTCTTCATTCAATTTTTGAATCTGTTGATGATTTGTTACGTATGAATTTGCTGGTGGGCGTCTTGAGTTAATTGGTTCACGCCGTGGTATTAAAAATGGTTCACCAGAAGTAAAGGATGTCTCTGTCTGTAAGGGCTTGTAATGTTTCACAGAGGGAAACTTGTGTTTATCCGTTGGAAGTGTATAGTAACCTCGGTGAGCATAATTAGGTTTATCAGGACTATAAAATTCTGTATAGAAAGAAAACATAAAATTAGTGTAGTTTTTATATAAGACTGCAACAAAATAGCGCGAGTCCGAAGGACGAGGGATATTTGCAGTCTTTAAAAAACTCACGAGTGCATACTTTGCCGTAATTGCACGAGAAACTATGCTATTTCTTAATACAAATATATTTTGTGATATTCCTGGACTATAGACATCTTAACAGAAGGCCCATTCAGCAAAAATCGTGACGTATTTTTCCACTACGTATGCGTGACTTCCAGCAAAATAAATATAAAATAGTATTGCCCGAGACTATTATTTTACTAATAATTCACAATTAACGCAAACGTTTGCCGAAATTTTAAGCAAAAGTGGTCATTTTGGGAGAGAGATAAAGTATCAAGCTTTCGTAGTGAAAAAAGATATTTTGGAAAAATGTTTATATTTTCTACTGCAATCTTGCTGAAGTATCTTGCTGAATAGCACGTCTGCATAAAATTTGCTTCAGGGAAGCGGGGACACGAACATCAAATGTCCAACACGAGCGGCCTTCTGTTAAGATATCTATTTTGTAATTCTTGAATTTTCAATGACTGCAGTTGTGGAAATTTTTGTTTACACAAAACTGACGCCATGTTTTTTTGAATTGAATAAAGCTTGTTTGGCTTTCTCTGCTTTTCAGCCAATCAGGAATTAGAATTTACAGTGCAATTACAGCTTTTCTCCAGTGGAATTACAGTTTTTTAACCAAGCAATTACACATTTCACAATGCAATTACATATAAACTGAACTGCAATCTACCAATCACAGTCAAGAAATATCTGAATACATAATATTAACATTACTAATATTTAGCAATTAAATATAAAATAATTGAAATGCGTAATTTTTGTCTTCGATAAATAAAGACTTTTTCTGATATTTTACTTAAAAGAAAGATTTATAACATCCATGATGCTTTTTGATGATTCAAAACGTTTGTGAATAAAGAAAAGTTGTGGTGAAAAGTCTTGATGATTTTTCAATATACAAAATTGAGAAAAGGCACAAGACCAAATATATCCTGGTGTAGTTGCTACAGCTACATCATCTGTGATGACTAACTAAACTGTGCTAAAACCATACAATAATAAACTTGTTTCCGTAACAAAACTATCGCATTGCCTTTATTCATATGCTAAACTCTATGAATAAGTTCGTGACAGCAAAACAAGAATTTTTGCATGAAGCAAAACATTTCCCCTTTTTTAAATCCTTAACAGTTATAAGGAGATTTCATTTTTGGAATAAGTTTTATTTTGTTTCCTACAGGGGCGGATCTAGGATTTTTCAAACATCAGTCATAAAACGTCGGAGGGGCTCCGCACCTGGGGGTCTGAGGCATTCTCCCCTGAGAAATTTTGAATTTCAGAGCCTTGAAAATGCCATTTTCAGTGTTTCATAGCAATACAAAATGTATTTTGTGGGCATCGTTTTTGCGTAAAAACAACACATTTTGCTTACGTTTTTTTTCAAAAACAAAATGACGTGAACAATACTTGAATGTTTTGCCAAATATTTAGGCTCATTATCATGCCAAATATATGGCTCATTAGCATGTCTAGGAACGTAAAATTTATTTTACATAATGCTATTCAAAAACAGATATAGTCTTTAAAAATTTCTACCAAGTTGTCAGGCATAGACCCCCCTAGAGACGCCCATTCAAACCTCTATGTAATGAGTTAAGTTAGAAATTTGGTACTACAAGTGACGGTTCATAGATATAGAAAATCTCAGACTTCAAACCATGCAAGTTTATTGTAATCCTTTACCCATCTCCACATCAGTGCCAGCAAATTCACCTTTTGAGAAAAAACTCAAAATTTTTTTTTCTGCCAAAGGTTAAGCAAAAATTATTAGAGTGGAAATTTGCAGTTAAGGACAGCTTAATGCCATAAATGTTTATCAGGCATTTCACTAGACTATTATCTCCTGTAAGTATATGCCTAGTGATCATGAAAAATACTTTGCTGTTTTGCCAAATTTCAAGGTTTATCTGCATACATAGAAAGACATTTTTACTTTATAGAAAATGCTTTTCATACATCAATAGCCCTTTGGAATTTATGGCAAACAATCTGGTATGAGTCGTAGATTAACACACCTTTACATCTCTAGATGAGGTGTTCAGAAAAGGGGACAATATGTGACATGGGACAACATTTCATGTATGTGAAATACTCAGGTTTAATACCATTTCAGTCAAATTGTCAAAATAAAAAGCTTCATGGATCAGAAGACTCAAAATCACAGGTTATAGTAAACAGCTTCTCATGTAATCAATGTTAGTTTTCTAAAATCTTAAACATTATGTAGTATAACTATCCAATGATTGAATGATCAATGATCATAAACTGAAAAGCCCCAAACATTTGTTTATGATAAAGTAAATAATAGTATGGGCCTTATGGCTGCAGATATTTTGTCCATTGAAATATATTTGCAGAAATGTAGGATTTCGCTGCCATATAACGTCCACGATTCCCCAAGCACTAAAGAAATCATAGCTAAAAGTCATTCGGCAACAACAATTTTAGAAACATCAATCTGCTTTCCATACGCCATATTGACATAAATCGCATCACACACTCTCATAAATTGACTTTGATATATTACATTCATGCATACACTTCACTTGTCCTTTACTTACGATTTTGGATGTAAATTTCTGCTGATAAAACTCAAAACAATGTTGGCTTTCTTTGAACATCAATAACTGAAATGTCGCTCGCGAGATCGTCTTTGCCAAGCATTTACAATTTATCCATAAATTTTTCACCCCCTTGAAAAAATTCCCAGTTTGGACAGCAGCATTCATGTCAATATATCAATTTGTAAAAGATTTCCATAAATTTCATCTGATTGTAGTTTAGTTTCTATCATGCTTATAAAAATTACTATGAAACGAGCTTGACTATGTTAGTTCAGTTGGGTATCAGTCGAAATCCGTCAAACCAATCACAATAAAACAAAAATTCAAATGAACCAATTGTAAGATAGCAATTGGACTCCCTTATACGTCCGGCCACCCCTATTATCAGTCGAGACCATTCCAGACTGTCCACTGATCTGGCCATTGGCCAATAAAATAAGCGTTTTTGGCGTTCATAGACTCCTTTATCCGTCGAACTAGTCAAGCCACCCCGCTTATCAGTCGGTTATTCCAGGTCAATTAAAATTCAACTGATCTGGTTACCAACGAGATATTCATTGGATTAGTCATTAGTTTTCAATAATAAATAAAGCTGGATTTTTATTCGAAGTAAATGCGATAAGAAAGTAAGAATAATTAATGAATTTTTAATTAATAGGAATAGGTAATTTTTGAATTTCAAACATCAGTCGCGCGACGGATTTGACATACTCTAGATCCGCCCCTGGTTTCCTAGTTGTTCCAAATTTGCAGAAGTTTCCATGCATAAAAAGAGTTAAAACGTGTGCATTTTAAAAGCATTTCAGGAACATGTTACATTTACACGACTGTTTTGAAAGCTGAAATCCTTCTCTTACCAATAAATTATAATTCATAACGTAAACGAGTTTTTCTACTGAAATGCCATCGTCAATATTTTTCAGTTAGTCTGGCATTCTACAGCTCTTCTATCCGAAATTAATAGCGAGAACTGGAGAAATATGGCTGAAAATTTTGTTGGAAGTACGCCCCCTCTCCCAAACAATTATTTAAATTTGAAGGTATGCAGCAATAATCTTGAACTTATATTCTTACGTTCATAAAGATCTGTTTCATCTAAAGAATCATAATACGTATTACCATGACGATTATCAACAGTCAGTTTATTCGGAGGCCTGCTGGTATCAGCTTCTTGAAAAGTTGACTCGCCAGGTAAGTTGTCTGTATCAAAACGTTTCTGCAATTACAAATGAAGAAAATTGGCTTAGTTTGTATACATACAAGGCTGGTTTAAGCATTGCAAGTCCTCCGATGCTACTGCTTTTGTTGGCAATTTCCTTTTTCGCGCATTCTTCGTCTAGAGTAAACAAGGAGAATGTGTGTCTGAACAAACCTGTTTTCGTGTAAGAGCAATCATTGGGACATTATCGTCATAAAAGGGCGCCACTCGTCGAGAAGATTTTTGAGGTAACCGCATACGACGACGTTTTATAGGAAAAAATAGCACCTGCAATTGAAAAAGAGAATTTTTCGTAATTGAAACGCCACTCTTTACAGTACAGTACTTCTGGCTGTGCAGTGCTAATTGTGTGTAACATAGGCAATAACGGAAATTATCTATTAGACAACACACATTTTAATCTACGCTATTATGAAGGACAAAAAGTTGTGAGTAATACCTCATTGTCTGTCTCACTTTCTACATACTTTTCAGCTTCTGGTTTCAGCTCTGTATCAGAAGTCCAACTAACTTTCTCCCTACATCAGATGATATATTAAGCTGTTACGTTGTTGTAAAAACGTGTTGCCATTGTGCTTGCATTGAAGTTTAGTTTTTTTTCACCTAAATGTATTGGCCTTATTAGATGAAACTAGCGATACAAGAAAAGCAGCTTACAGTTGTTTGTTTACATCTTTTCCTTCCAAAATGGCTTGAATCTAAAATGTAAAATACCTCCACATCATCTATGAGTTTTTAATAACTGAATGATTCCTTAGAAGACGTTGGTGAGAATAGTTCAAAAATTTTCACAAATATTCTCGTAGCTTCAGCTTTATAGATGTTTCTAAGTTTTAGACAATAAATTCATGCTACATTGTTATAGCTAGATATCTTATTAATTAATTTTAAACAAGGGAAAATGCTCAAGAACAAATAAAGTAACTTAGTGAGTGACATGGGTAACTTTCATATTCTCTTATGTGTACACGTGAAATCATGCACAATTTCTGTCGAATGGACGTTTTGGTGTACAATGCTAACACAAAGGTATATTTATTTAGATTGCTTCTTGTTTTACAGCATGGATGTATCAAACACTACATTTCCTATGATTATGTTACAAATAATTTACTTGTGGTCCCAAACAGTGTTGAACATAAAGTAACCATGGTTAAAATAATAGTTAAATGGCTATTTAACAAACTTTACAGCTACAAAAGTGTGTGACATACTAATGAAATAATGTTATTCCAATTTGCCAGTAATTGTTTTTAACAAACCAAACAAAGCAGTCGTCTGAAAAAAATACTGTATTTTTATATCATTGGAAAATGCATTGTTTGGCATGCTAAGTACAAATGCGTAGATTTGCTTTGTAGGACAAGGTTGGCAATCAGTTCTCAAAAGAACAATGGAAATTTAATGGATAAAGACAAAATAAATAATAAACAAAAAAATCCTACCTGACCACGTACGTAAATGTTTTCGAAAGAAAAACATGCAAATGTTAAAAAAATGGGACACTTCTGCCTCAAAATCTTTAATGAGTTATGCCACACGTGATTTCGAAGCAAATACGAGCAGTGGCATGGCCAACTCGACATGTGATGGGAATTTTATTCCTTCGTGCATTTTTTCATATTAAGTTCTTTTGAAATCAATTGTATCCAGGGATTAAAACATGAATGTATGAATACTGTACTCTCACTTATCAAGATAGTAACACCACTGAACACGATTGAAGTAAACATAAGACGAACATTTGAGGCAACTCGTTAATACATAAAGGCATCTTTATTGACAAAAATATTTTTTCAGTGCATGAATAAGAAGTAGCAAACTGAAGAAGGCAACATGATCACAAAGCAAGCTTAAACCATGTTGCAAATTAAGACTTAGATACCACTTAGTTTAGTTGCACATAAGTTACCTCTAGTTGAGCCATAAGCCATTCACGTCGAGATAATTTCTTCTCTTCCAAAGATATTAATGAGTCAAATTGTCTTCTTCTCTGTTTGAGATACTTATTTTTTGCTGACTTAGTGTTTTCCTTCTTTTTTCTCCGCTGACGCAATTTTTCTCTCCATTTTTCTATATTGGCCTACAAAAAGTTAAGAACAATAAATAAGCCCTGGAAAGCAGACAAAGCATAACCTCGTTTTGGTTATTAAGCAAATAGCTTGATATGACCTTCAGTGGTTCATGAATCTAGTCGTATAAATAAACACAATCAGGGTTTGCTTGTTTTCCCAATTAAGTATTTGAATTTTTGATATTTTTTCAGAGTAACCATATTGATCACGAGTAAATGTTAACTTTGCGAAAACTCTAGTTCCAACAAGTATCATAGTATTTTTTAGTAAATCAATGAGAATTGCCACTTTAATAACTTATTGAAATATTCGCTTTTTACCGAAAATTTTAAAACAACCACAGTGACGCTGCTTACCTTTATTTGAATGGTGTCGTCAGACTCAGATTCTGAAATTTGTTTTTTCTTCATCAGCTTATCTTTCAAAGATGGTTCAATTGACTGAATCAACGTGTCATTTCTTTGAGTTATATTTTTATTTTTTCCAGCAAGACTATGATTTGGGATGGCATTTGTTTTCACATCTGAGTCAATTTCTTTGCGTATAGTTGGACGTAATCGTAGAGCTACTTCAGAAACAGCAAAACTTGATGTGCCATCGAAGTTTACGTAAGTGATATTTTCAAATGTTGCTGCAGGATGAGAAACAATTGACGGTGATATCTGCAGTGACAATTTGCGTAAACATTAAACACAGCGCAGTGATGCTTTTTGCTTGATAACTACCTTATATATACCTTCCTAAGTTTTCAAAGAAAAAAATACATGTTATTGTGAGAAAAAAACAGAGCGTAATGAAAAAAGCAGCATATACAAGAAAGTCATGTAAATAGTTTATATAAAAGAAAGGAAAAGAAAGCATTTTAAATGTAATAAAACAAAAAATTTCTACATTCATTACTATCAGCTACAAGGATTTGAAATGGTTTTAAAAAATTTATCTTCAATTAATGTGACATCTAAAATAAGTGTCTCACAATGCAAGGAAGAAAGCCACAGTTAACCTGATCGTTAGCGAAGAAGGCATTACCTGTTTTTCAATTTCTTGGACTTCAATTAGTTTAACAATTTTTCTTCTTTGCTTTTTTGTGTCTGGTGTTTGCACAATTACATCAGGGTAATCTTTAGTTGGAAGTGTTGGTGATGTGCTGGTTGGCAATGTTTCGTGTTTTCTATATCTCCAAAAACATTTACGATAACTTTTTGACAATATTTCGGCCTTTATTCTTTAACACTCGTTTTTTTTGTAATTATTTTTCTTAAAAATAATAAAAAACTAAGGCATGCCTTCTTTATCTTTCAGCTTATTGTTTACTTTTGGAGAAGTCGGCAAAATAAATTAAAAAACACCAAATTTTTCAGAAAATCTATTCAATCGACGGGATGTTGTAATTTATCTTATCTAACTATGCATCCAGAGGCGTAGGAATGAAGAGGGCATAGACGAGATATGCCTCTCATAAAAAATTAAAAAGAAAAAAGTCTCTTTTTGTATTGAAAAGTGCCTTTTTGTACAGGATGAGTCTGATATGATAATTTGCCCTTTGTTTTTTAAAAGGAGTTTAATAGACCCGTTTTTTTACAAACCGCCTTCTACTGATATGCATTCTTTTATAACTCTTACATAACTAAGATTATGATATCGATTTTCTGAAATTTTGGGTGAATTATGACATCAAGTGAATTGTGTTAGACGTGTTTTGAATTTGTAAATAAGCTTATTTATCCATTATATTTCGATTCTATTTGATTTGAGTGGATTAATTTTTTTTTAAAGGAATCCCTTGTTGTAAGGCTAAAAAGTGTGTCAGAAATCTAAAATTCTAAAGATTAAATAGCATGAAAGCAAACTGCAATTGGCCTCTCAAACCCCCTCTCTACCTATTTCTAGCTGCCATTCTTAAAAAAGTTTCTTTAGGAGCTGGCTCCCCCTCCCCCCTTAAAAATTAGATTGTCTTACACCACTAGCTGCATTTTCACTGTTTTTCTTTTAATTGCACTGCAAACTAATTCAAAAATTTCATATACCTGTCAGGAATAACACGTTCAAGTTCATCTTTATTTCTTTCAATGGAAACTTTATTTAACTAATAAAGGAGACATCAAATCAAAGAGGGGTGTATAATACATTAATAAAAAATAGTTGACAGAGAATTAAATGAGATATATAAATCAAAGTAAACTATAGCGTTTTGGTAGTTGGTATATTGAGAGAAACGAAAGAAGAAAATTTGCACTTTGCACGATATTTTTATACGTGTTTAAATCAAAACAGAAATATTCACTCTGATGACGTCATGAATTTTGAGAAAATTGAACTGCAAATAGTAAAAATTTGTATTGTGCATAACTTTATATAAATTTTCCCATAACAAGCAAGTGTGACTATTTCATGTACTAATCTTACGCTTAACAGACAAAAGTCGAAAATTCTCAATAAAAAATAGAAAATATGAAATTCAGAAAAGTCCAAACCTTGAGTTTATGACTTGTTCGTCGTTTTTTCCAGCGTTTGATGACTAAGCAAGCCAAGAAAACGAGCACAACAGGGACGCTAACAGAAACAATAACTAACACGACTTCATTGTTTTTATTCCTTTCATCAAGAGAGATTAAAATGGCGCTAAATTTTCCAGAAACCTAAAAGACAAACGATGAAGCTAGAAACTGATACATTAAAACGTTGTATTAAGTACAAAACTGTTTAACTAAATTGCTTTGTCAAGCTAGATTGATAAATTCATCAGTTAAATATATCAGATGTACTATTATGGAATTGAACCAGTTACATTGCCATCATTACATGCTTTTCAGATCTTTGCCATACAAAATTGACTGGCAGCTACACTTGTTGCCGTTTTTGCATTATTTCAAGATTGATTATTTGAAGTAATTTTTGCCTTCCTATAGAAACCAAAATATTGGCAGCGATTCTGATAGTGTGACATAAAACTTTAGTTTTTGAAAGTTATTGTACAGGTTATAAATGCAATCAACTAAAAATTAACAACATTAATTGTAGCTGGTTTTCAAGTCAAACCAAAAGAGAACAAAAAAAAGCCCAGTGACATGTGCAACATAGTAAACTAAAGGCAAATATGAATTTTCGTAATCACATGCATGTACACACCTGGTATCCTAAAATTGAAACTGCTTCAGCTAGTGATGGAATGTTCATAGTTCTTGCAGCTTCAACAGCTGGTATTAATAAAGACCAATTTTTGACGCAGAAACGGACTTCGACTTGTTCACTGGCCGGAGAACGAGTAACATTTAAGAGCTAGAGATGTACAAAATTTCTTGCTAAACTACTCTATATAATGAATATTTGATTTAAATTCCCAAACGAAAACAAGAAACATATATCCGTGCATTAAGCAAGTTTTTCAATAGTTGTATATCTAATAATAGTTTCTATTTTTCATGTTTCACAAAAATTGTGATATTATAGTGATGTATTTGCACTTTAAAAACCATAATTATTGCATTTCCAACTCGTTATTGGTTGTTGTTACAAGTGGAATGGGCTTATCAATTCTGTTCAGGGGGAATTACAGTAAAACATATAGATAAAAGGTGTTGCAGTTTTTTGCAAAACGTAAAATTAATTTCTTAACAGCATTTTCATTTTAGTTCTTTTTTCATTATGTAATAATTATGTTTTTTAAATTAATAGTAATGATTATTTTTCAGAATCTATTATTTACCTCCACTCTGAATCGTGTTTCATTCTGTCTTTTTAATCGCAATCTTTGACCAGCGTCATTGTTAATTGTTTTAAACTCTCCGGACCTTACATCCTGCAATGTATTGCGTCGTTTTCTAGAGGAAAAACCCTTTAAATCGCCTAAGTTATATAATCTTTCCAATTTACTTCGAAGATCACGAAGAAACATAATATCTTGTGTGTTAACCGTTGTAGGAATAAGAAGAAAAACGCGTACTGTAAACCGAAGACTTGAATTGAAAAATATATTCAATGATGTCCTTGAAATTTGTACGTCTGAAGAAGTGACGGAGGAAGAAAAACTGGACGATGAAAATGATGAATGTTGACTCAGCATGTTTGAAACAGCTGATATATACGCTTCAAATGCCCTCGAGGATCTTTTATCATCAAAATTTGATACCGTAAAATGAGTTGAGTAAGTCGAGATTGACTTTATGGATATAACAGATGTCACAAGTCTCACCACAGACTTTTTTAAAGGCAGCGTCGATGCAACCTCAACCGAGTATGTTGCATGTATTAAGCTGGATTTTCTTGTTTTCACTGTTGTTGATATTGTCTTTGATAAGAAAAACGGCAGTCGTTGTGCAAATGAAGTTCTGTTTATATTTAATGGTGTATTTTTCGATCTAATACTACTTCTATGGGACAAATAGCTCAACAAAAATCCTTCAGTATTGGGCGTTGAGGCTGTTGATTTTACATTTTCGTCAGCCATTTTTTTCGATAAACTGGAAGTTTTGTTTATCAAATTGGTTTTGATGTTTGCAGCTGAGGAAGAAACTAAAACTCTGTGCAAAATTAATGATTTGCTCATGGCCAAAGTTTTTGATGGGGAAATACATTGGGTTTTAGCTGTAAGAGCATTTCCTTTTTCTAAAGAGGACCTAAAAAGTGAATTCACTCCACTTATGTGCAAAGATGACGTGCTACGTGTTGACTCATCAGAAAATGCCGAAAATCCCGATAGTTTTTTGTTCACAGTCGAACCTCTACTATGTTTTGTGGAAGAAGTACGAGATGAATTTGAGCCTGAGGACATTACAGTAGGCATAGATATGGGCAAAAATGTTCTCGAAGTTTTGGTTAAGTTTAATGCTGAATATTTTGATAACCTGGAGGTGACGTCAAGCGATTTTTTCAAACCAGATTTTGAAATTATGCTAGAGGATAAAGCCAACAGTTGTAATGTTAAAGAAGAGTGGATGGAAGGAAGATTTTGAGATAAAAATGAAAAATTTAATTGTGAACTAACTTTACTTGAAACATATAATGTGGAGCTTTCAAGTGGAAATAATGATCCTCTTGTAATAAATGATGACGTCATGTAAACTCTTGAGTCAGACGAGATAGGTTCTTTGTAAATTGTTGGCGTAAATTGGCGTTCTCTCATTTTAGTTTCATCAGTTGCATTAGGATATGTGATGAGTGAAATGAATTTGGTACTTTCCCATTTCATTATCGTCGATTTTCTCTTGTAAGACAACAAGTGTGATGATGATGGGCTCGATGTCTGTATTTTAAATGTGTTCAGAACGCCAGTACTTTTAAATTTTGCTGTAAATCTCAACCTGGTTATTAATGATGACAGGGAATGTAAGGGTAATTTTGTTTTCATTAACGATGTTGCAGTTATGTCACTCGATTCACTTGATAAACTTGATAAATTTGATATTTTTCGGCCCAACTGGGTTGTGATGTAAGCATCTGGCGAAGAAACTATCAACTTAGGCGTATTCAGAGAAATTGTGATTTTTTGTGATGTTGAAGAGTTACTGATGTCTAAAGCTCTCAATGATCTTGCAATTGACGAAATCGGATGTTTGTTTGTTATAGACTTTAAAATGATCTCGTTTTCATTTACAGACGATGTATCACGTGAAGCTTCACCATAAGTAGTATTGGCCATAATGGATCTTCTGTTATGCTTTGTAAAGGAAACAAAAGAATTAGTGGAACTTGAGGGCAAAGAAATAGATGGAGTAAATGGCGGCGATAAAATATTTTTCGGCATGCTTGAAGATGTATTTATTGTTGCAAATTTGGAGTTGATTTCTGATGTTCTGAAAAAAATTCTTTTTTGCGATAATAACATGGCCGCTAAATTGATAATATTTGACGTGGACAAAAATACGTTATCATTTGATTGGCTTGGACGAAAAGTCAAGTTGCCAGCATTAGAGCTGGTAAAGGTTTGTAAAAGTGTAATGCTGCCATCAACCGTTGACGTTTTTGAGCTTAAAAACATTGTACTGATCTGGGAAATAAGAAACGATCTTCTTGCATGAAGAGAAAAAGTAATTTTTCGAAGTGCCGTGGATGGAAAAATTCTTACATTTTGTGAAATTGACTTAGCAGAGATTCTTGCCAATGTTACCGTAGTTCTTTGAACTTGACTGAGTTTCGATGCAGTTTCTTTTTCAGCAGAGTTTATTTCCATGATGGACTCAGAAATGTTAGGTAACAGTTTTTGAAAAGTAGTTTCATCCATTCTTCCCGGAATAATGCTCCAAGTTGAAAAGTTTACAGACGACACTTTTTTGGAGCGGGTCAAACTTGAAGTGTTGTTTAAAAATATTGAAGTCGCAAACATCGTTGCAAGCAAAGTGTCCATTGTTCTCACAAAATTATTTTTCAAATTATGTAGTTTGTTCAGCACTGACGAGTTTTTCCTGAAGAAAGAAGAGAACAGTAATGGTGTGTTCCTTGTTGTGGTGATTAATTTTGACGAAGTTTTCAAAATTTTATTACGAAAGGTTGTTGGCATTAAGGAATTTTTTGATAGAAATGTTTCCGAGACAGTAGTCAAATGCATGAGTATATCATTGGGCGTCATGTGTCGCATGAAAGTCATTTCACTAGAGCTCAAACCTAGCGATTGTGTATATATCTCCACTTTTGATACTTCTTGAAAAAAATTTGACGTAGTTAAGCTTTCTGGTTTCTGCATTTTGCTTATATTACTTTTGTCCAAAGAATTGGAATATATGGAGATGGACCTAACAAGCAAATTTGATCTTTCATTTAGTGACTGCGATATTGATACAATAGTGTTAGAGTGGATGTTTTGGACATCTGATGGTCTAATATGTGACGTCATAAAGATTGCTTTTGTCATACGTGATTCAGTTAAAGATAAAACACTCTCTGAAGCCAAAATACTTTTGTAAGATGATAAAAATCGACTTAAATTCTTTCTTGAGCGATTCATTGACGGCGTTTGGAATCTGTGTAGGTCAAATGAGGAAAATACTGATTCTTGGATAGTTGTGGTTGAGATTTTCATTGGTAACGATATCAACTTAGCCTGCATCGTTATTAAAGTTTCTGAAATTGCATTTAAAAAAGTAATTTCATTAACAGGTCATAATGGCTGCAAAAAAACATGTTCGTAAAATATTTTGTCAAGATTTATAGACTTATGTCATGTTTGAAATTCAAACACCCTTGATTGACATGCACGAATTGACAAACACATAACGCTTTCTGTTCAGTTAGTTGTAACTAGCAAAGAAAAAAATGACATACCTTGAGAAGAGGAACTCAAGGTGTATGATGGTGTAAGTGACGGTAGAAATACATGTAATGTGCGAGTTGATTTGCTTTTAGGTTGGTATCCTATGGAGGTTTCCAAGTTATGAGATCCAATGTCTGATGACAAATAAGGTCCTGAAACGTTAATTTGGACAAATAATACAAATGTCGTTTACAGAATGTGAATAACGTTTTTGGTTTGTGAGCTATTTTTTAGCAAAGATGCGAATAAAACGAGAATTTCAACGTGTTGTAAAAAATATCAATAGCTCTAATCCGCAGCATGAGAATTGTGACGTCATTTAAGGAGCGCAGACTGACCGCCAGAACAACTTACACTGTTTATGCACGTAAACAAACACAAAAATGCCAGATCGATGTGTAGTTTTTGGTTGTTCTAACGTGAATTGTGAATACGCCAGGAATCTTATCTGCATTTTACTTGGAATCTGTGTGAGGACATATTTCATAAGTATATTACATTTTGAATAAAAAGCAAGTGGATATCTGATTATAAAAGTGAGATTTAATCAGAAAATATTCCTAGTACAGTAGCGAACCTCAAGAGCAAACAGAAGAAACAGCTTGTGATGAGCCTGTATTAGAGAAGGCAAACCTATACGATCATTACGCCAATGCTGTAAAGGTTAACATTAATTATCGTTTTTTATATGTACTTATGATGTCTCTAATTTAGAAAGTAGCTATGCAATACGAATTTCAATACCAAAATTGTCTAAAACTCGAAAAAGAGAAACGTCGTTACAGAAACTTATGGTGGGGCAAAACATAACCTTCAATATAGCAAAACGTATGCAAATAGTTCTAATATGGATATGCTCGCAGTTGGCAATTGTTATTTAAGATAATACGCCTGTTAATTTTATTTCATGTATGATTTTAGGTCAGGAGAAGATATATCAACGTAATAGGACCAGCCATGTTTAATAACCTTAATTTCTATAATACTACTAACTAAGGCAGCATACACCTCTGGAAAACTATTAAAGTTAATTACCAAGAAATATGGACTTAATCAACCTTGCGTAGCTGCAATCCTGAAGTATCCTATTTGATATATGAGTATGACAACAACAGCAGCAATGAAGAAGCATCAACTTGTAGCAAAGTGGTTGATCTTGATAGTTGTCTAGCTGAGGAGATTTTGGATCCAAATGATCACTGGTGACTCAGACTCAGAGAGTTGTCTTGGTGTTGAACAAAGTAATAAGCCTGAGACAGAAGAGTTATGTACATATAGTGACATGGATGTCGACTCTGAATCAGTGCAGCCAAAAACATTTAAAACGTGAAAAATTTTTGGATGATAACTTTAATTTATCAATCATCATGGCAATGTTAAAATAGTAGTGATTGTTAAAAAATCAAAGTTAAACAGCTATTTAATCACAATCACTAACAAATTATGTGTGCCGGTATGTAATTGCACTTATTGATAGCTACTATTGAATTTCATAAATTGAGTTTGTTTGTCATTTTAAAATGGTTAAACAAACACACAACTTAAGAACAGAGAAAAAATTTATAGTGTTTTTCACCCAACTGCTTGCACTTTTTAAATTCTGTCCAATTTGCAAATCAGATGATGTTCTTATTGAGATATTGCAAAATGGTTCAATGGCAAAAGTGAAAGTTAGTTGTTCCAATCAAAAATGTGGAGCAGACATAACATGGAATAGTCAACCAGTCATGACTGGGACTTCCATTCCTGCTGGAAATTTGCTATTGGCATTTGGTATTTACACTGTTGAAAACTCTGACAAAAAGGTGATCAGAATATACTTCTCTCGCCAGCGTGCAAATAAGACTTATCTGATGGTATATAAGAAATTTGTAAACAAATTACTACAAACAAATGAAGAGTTTGAATGTCTTGTTAAAATTTTGTTTAGGAAAAACTGTATCATGCATTGGTGATCTACTGGAAAAAATACTAAGTGAGTTTGATGGAGAAAGTAATGGCATGTATACAACCTATTGCAATTGCTGGGAATGGAAGACACGATTCCATGGAACACAGTGCTAGATACTGTCCATATACAACATTCTGTTGCACAGTACCTCAAATCATTAGTTTTTCTCTTGTGCAGGTATATTTCTTTGAAATATGCGTTTTTTTTCTTTAAAAGTATTTACCTATTTGCTAATTTGTGAAGAAATGAAGTTGGAAATAGCACTGGTATGTAGTTTGAGGGATCTAAAAAATCATGGGATTTTCTTAAGTCTTGCATTATTCCAATTTCGACATTAATCACTGACAGGCACATACAAATTGCCAAATATATGAGAGAGTATTATCCAGGTATTACCTACTACTTTATGTAATAATTTCTTATTGCCTTGTCTTCAGATTCTATAGCACACAATAAGATGTATGCAACTTTAAATAAACCAAGGTTGATTGCTGGAATCATGAATACTTCTCCGATGTCTCAAACAAGTGCATTAGAGAGACCTCACTCAGTTCTTATGCAGTTTGCACCCAAAAAGATAAGCTACGTTTTTCTTGGAATGTAATGTTCTGCCGGTATTCTATGAAACATGTTCAATGAAACACCTATGTGTCATTATAGTTTTTATTCCTTTGTGCCAATTTAAACTGTTTCAACAAATTGCATGCACTTTTATTTTTCATGAAGGCATATCCTTGCAGTAACTCACTTTAATAGCAATTTTTACAAGTATAATCAAGAAGTTAATTAAATGCCATGATAGTCAAAGCCACAATAAAAATGATTATTATAAAATAAAATTTTGAATAATTTGCACATTGTTCCACCAGGGTATGTTGAAGATATATATCATGTGTTGTGGTCTGAACTCATTGATGAAGAAACATTGAAAGAAGCCAAAGATGATCTTTTACTAATGACTCCATTGCCATTAAATTCCTTGTTAGAAGAGCAATCAAAAATTGAAGCTATCGCAAAAAAAACAACAAGACAAAGCATGCCAGCTGTACATGTTCCCAAAACTTATATATTTAACTGTCCAAAAACAAAACGTAGCCACTTCTGTTAGGAGCTGGTGGTATGAGCATAGTTACTTATGATTCGGTGAAGTATGAAATGACTGCAAGGAAAGAACATAAAGAAAAGGAGTTGGCTATTTAATTGTTGTATGTTTTGTATAACAAGAATAAGTGTGAATCGAAGATGCAATACATCAAGAGTGGCTAAAATCATTCAAGACCAGACTGTATCCCTACTCGCTGGGCTTATGCACCAAACAGCTAAAATGATATGTAACGTTATGTTATTTTATAAATTGTCCTTTTCAAACACTGTTAAGTGTTCATATTTTTTAAATTAAAAGTTGTTAGGTTAATCGTCTATATGGAACAACTCGATAACACCTGAAAAGGCATAATACACAAGGCCCATTAAAACAGGCAGGAGTCCATAAAATACAATTTTTGCAAGTGTGCATCTTAAAAACCCAGTCAGAAACATTAACTATTAATTGTAACAAGCCTTTGCTCAAAGAATCAATTATGATATCTAACTCCATCTCGTCTTTGGTAAATCACCATATGATCGTGCATTTCTATCTTGAAATTGGTAATTTTGTTGCAACATCTACATTCTTTTGGATCAACCAAGAAAGGAACACGACAGTTACCACAATTGCACCTAAGAACGTTATCTGTAAAAAGCTTCGGAAAAATAAATAAACAAATTTTCCAAATTTTCTTTCCAAGTATCAAGAGAAACTTCATTTTGCATTCTGCGTTCGAGCTCTTCTGTTTGACGTTTTTCTTCTTCTCCCTCTCTTATGATTTTCTAACCACTCATCATCAGCAAGTGGTTCGTGTTCATACGCTGCAGCTTGGCCGTACTCAAAATCACCATCGGTTTGGGGAGCGCACTTAATGACGAATGATCTTTGTCTTCTAAATTGAATTCACGCCTGTTTAAGTCAATATTTTCCGCTGTTGTTGCTGTGCTTTACTCAGAATCGGATGTCGACATGTTTAATACAATTTTTATATTAATTACAACGTAACATATAAAGAGTTGCTATTTCACGCTATGTTGTTTTGTATGCAGCACCTTTATACGTTCCTTAAATGACGTCACAAGCCTCTCATCTTAAGCCTTCTCAAAGGCGTAGAACTTTCTCAAAAACAAGCAACTTCAAACCGCAAAAAAACTTCAATATTAATATTTTTCGCAAAATTTTCTTCGAAATCATATTTTCCAAAATCTAAACTTTAAAAATACCGCAAATTTGGAAAGGCTTAATATACACTTTAAGCTTGGAGTTGAAAAGACTGTCGTGGATAATTAGTTCATATGTTTTAGAGAACGATGACAAAATTTTCGAGTCGTCAAAATCAGCTTTGACTTGTCATTTTACACCATAACACTATAATAGGCTGAATTCTATGGTGGATTATTGTTCAGGTTGAGATGCAGAAATTCATGACTAAGTAAAAACAACATAGATGTACTGATATGTACTCACTTAATATAAATCTGCCTGTTTACACCCCGAAAACTTGCAATCAAGAGAGCTAGAGCCATCAAAAATTCGACATTTATTTTCTAAATCCGCCATATTGTTTTGTGTGAAATTCGCTAAATTTGCTGGCTCATATTCAAAAAACGGTGCTAAATAATGATTAAGGAAAAATCTATCTAAGTTAATTTGAAATGATATGTTTAGCTATTAATCTTCCATAGCTGCTTGATGGACAAAAAGACTAAAAAATGAAAAAACAATTCTTGAAATTGAGTTGCGAAAGAGTCCTTCATCTTTTTGTGTAAATAATATAACGATAATAAATTTGCACATGAGATTGCGTACTCAGAAGCCTTTGGTCGCCATCTAGCTCCTGCTGTACACACTGCTGAGCAGTGCATTCTTAATAGAACATTTCATTGAAATCGTTTATAAAGTTTTCATGTGTATCGTCGGTATCATCGTAATCGCTATCATCGCACTCATCCGGCTCTTTTATTGGGCCGTCATCTTCAGAGGCGTAGTTACTGCAGTCAGAACAACCGCAAATGTCAGTACATTGCAAACCAGACTTCACGCACGAGCATCGAAGATTCTTGCAACCAGCTTTACACTTGCATGTCACGCACTCAATAAGTGTATCTGGAGCA